CTTTTCCCTATTCCTAAAACACGAGTTAATTATTCAAATAAGTTTTAACATCGTATTGAAAATAATAAAGTTTCTAAAATATTTCAGATCGAAAGAATATATTATAAAACAAAACTCCTCCAAGAAATTCAACGTCATCCTAATACATAATAATAATTCCTCAATGGGATAACGAAAGTAGCTATCACAACTGAAGAAAGAAATCTATTTATTAAATATTAACCTTCGTTTTCTTTTTCTTTTTCATAGCACAATTTGAACACTCGGAGGAAAAGAAATTTATTATAGAAAAATTTCTTCTATCGTTACATTAATCTGAAGACGAGAATCTCCATTTCCCTTGTATATTTTTCCTTCTTTTTTAATATCTTCATAAAGGTGTGCAGGGTGGCCGAGTCGTATTTTATATTTCGCTCTTTACAAGAGTGTTTCTTTCTCTTTTCTTTTTTCTCCTTCATCAGGAAGGGTGTTGAAGAAATAGCATACTGTCACGTCTGGCAGGTTAATCAGAATTTTTACGGCTCCTCCCTCCCCCGCCCCGAAACTCGGCGCAATCAACATTAACCTTTACTGCCGGCTACTAATGCGCCCCGGTATTGCGATCCATCAGTATGTGGGTGCATTTTATTAGGCTTCCTATATCCGATGAGTTTAGGTCGGCTTTAAATGTTCGCCACGCCCAACCTATAATCCTACACCGTTTAATCCGCTCGTGTCTGATAACTCCTTCGCCCGATAATCGTTCTTACTGTCGTTCATCTTTGCTTGGATCGACGCGTGGATATAAATTCTTTTATCTCGAGTTGGATTTTTATTTAAAAAAAAAAAAGGATTTTCTCGACAAGGTACGTTTTCTTTTTTTCTTTTTCCGTGTAATCTGTCTTCTTTCTCGGTTAACAATTTGTTAAAAAATATTATTCTTAGAATAATATTTTAGAAATATCTATTTAATAATTGTGGTTATTTGTAGAGATGTGAGATTCGAGATAGATTCTAAACGAGAAAAACGCGTAATTTTGACTTGAATTTCAAATTCTAGCTACTATCCTACATATCAAATTCGAAATCTAGCAAATCTAAAATTTCACAGGTAACTTTAGATTCTTCAAATCTTACATTATTTTAGATTCTAAGCTTCCCAAAAACCCAAAATCTCTCGCTTTCCAAATATCGAAATCTTAGATACGTCTCAAATTTACTATCCCCCAAAGATTCCACATTCTACCGTTCAGAACCAAAATTGAATAGATCCTCGATCTTTGGAAAATTCGCAAATTCACAATTCCTAGATTAAACGATGAATTTTCTATACGCAAATATATCGAAATATGAACGGAGAATCGGAAGAAGTTGCAATTTTTCCTTGGAAGGATCGAAGGAACGTGTACATCGAGCTTAAACGATTTTGCACTTTAAAGTCTCTATCCTCTCGTCACAGTGGATTCTCTATGGTCGGCGTGTACAAGGTTGGCGTACGCCTGTAAGAGGGAGCGTATAATACATAATGTTCTTGCCGCCCTGTAGAATGTACAAGGTTTCGGTTCGTACATCCATCTCCCGTGTCATAAGCAGGGGCCAACCTTCCTCCACTCCTACTCGAGCCGTGAAACATTGTCGATTTTTCTTGCATAGGTGTTGTATGCGTTTTTGATAAATGGTCGGTCGGCCGAGCAGCTAACCAACCAAGGGAAACCGGCCAGGGGATGAGCGGTTCGAAGAGGAAGGATTCAAAATCAACCCCTCCCTCTCTTCTTCTTCTTCTTCGTTCTCGAGCTTCTTTCGATTTTAATTCGTCCCTCTCCTCACTTTCCCTGATAATAACAACGCTTAGCACGCGCTTTAATCCCTTATACTCGTGGAAACGAATCTAATTCACGGAACCTTCCTTTAAACCGTCAGAGCGCATCGCTCTTCCTTAAGTCAACTTTAATTTTCGTGGATCCATATGCAAGTGCATATCTTCCGATACGATTTCGTCCGGCACGTTCCCACTACGTGACGTAGATTTATCGTCTGTGCAAACTGTCTGAAAATTTCTTATTTTCTCTTTCCTTATTTTTCCTTTTTTCTTTCTTTTCTTCCCCCTCCTCCCCGTGGATATATGCATATCGCTCGTTGAATTAACCCGCGCAAGTGATCGTACGATGGTATAATATTTCGTTGTTTTTGTAAGATAGATTTTTAGAAAGAGGAATAAACACAAATTGTGCAAGATAGACAGCTTGGAACGAAAGTTATTTTAATTATTTCAAGTTCATTCTACGAATGAAAATAATTTCTCCACGAAGAAATTTTCTTCTGTTCTAAATTATCCCACTATACTCGTGATGTAATAAAATAAACAGATGCAGTTTAGGAATTAGAAAAAAATCATTGAAGATGTAATATTCATTATTTCCTACGTTCTTACGTTCCATTCTTACGTTTCGTCGATTTTTTTCTTTTTCTTTTAGATTCTCACACGTTATTAATAAAAACTGTCAGATATTTCTCTACGTTCTTATCTCCTACGTCCTTCTCCCTCCCCAATATACTCGATATTTTTCCAAAATTCGCGCTTATGGCTTAAAACGTTACGTGTCGTTCGGCCATCCTTGATCGCCACTTTCCGAAGGTGGGGCGCATTAATATCGATCAAGTTATCTCTGAAAGGAGTGTCACATCAATATCAATTAATCGGCCGAGTAATAAAGGATTGCGTGCTAGGGAGAAAGGGAGAGACCTTCTCCCTCCTCCTCCGCTCTCTTCCAACCCCCATCGATACATATCTACGTCTTTCCTGCGATTAGTTAACCCCTGACCGCGATCATCATTGTCCTTCGCCGATCATCGATACGTCCGCGTGAAAATTGCCATTAATTGGATGATTGATAATCGATACGAGTCCTATCCTCGATATAATATCGCTGGCTGAAGAAAAATACAACGCGCGAATTTCAAATTTTCGAAAATTATCTAAATTGAACAATACAAGTTCCCTTTCGTTCGAAAGATTTCGTTCAAAGTAAGTTTGAGCGTCGTTGCGTTTTCAATTCAACTTATTCGAATTATTCTACGATATATGATTGATATCATTCACTCTATGAATTGTTGGTAATTTAATATTTCCAACGATGATAATAATCATCGTTCGATATTCTCGATCGATCGATCGAACGAAACGATTATCCTATTGATACTCGTGATAATAGTGATAAACAGTTAAAAAAAAAAACAGGAGATACTTTTAACTGGAAACCACTAATAAAATTTTTACGACCCCTCCCCCTCCCCCTTCTATAATTAATGAAAATATACGCGATAATACGTTATAAATATCGCATTACCTTCCCAATGGGCGAATAATTACGCGTTGAAAATAATAATTTAAATAATAATACGCGTATTGAATGGGAGGAGGAAGGGGAGAAATATAATACGATCATACGATACGGTATTACGATATAATATCGAAGAAGACCTAATTACAATGCGTCCATCGTATCTCGATAAAATACAAAAGGGGTCACAAAGTGGATGAATTCTGTCCCGTTTGTGTGGAGATGTGAGACGAGATTCGTTTCACCAAGGGGGGAGGAGGGGCGAGAAAAATAGCGGAAATCTTGCGGAAATCGACGCGCGGTGTGGAGAGATTTTTACACAGGGAGGGATACATAAGTTGGAGCAAGGTAAAGCTTCTTTTCCAATGGGGCAAATGTTCCGAAATGACCTCTCTCTCCTAAACGTGCTAAATTTACCTTTCTGCTGGATAAGTGCAGTCATTCACCCTATCCGTTCGTTCGGCTGTTTAATTAACCATTGAACACGAGAGGCCGAGACTTATTGAAAACACGTCGACGCGGGGACATTGAACTCTTTTTCGGGCTATTGAGGGATATTCTTCTTTTCGATAAGGGATAAAATTAATATATATAAAATATATATAAAATATATATATATAAATTATTAAGGGATTAAATTATGAAAATTTTATGCGAGGATTATTATTGGATAGTAAAGTTTCAATTATTGAAATTGTTCGATTGAATTTTTACTCGTCAGATAATGATTCGAAACGATTTGAATGAAAATATTCACTTTCCCTGTACACTCTAGATATATAAATTGATAAAGAAATTGATTTTACTTACTTTTCAAAGTATCAAAGTATCTCAAAATTCTCGAGATGAATAATCAATCCTTAAAAGGAAGAATTAGAAAAGAAATCCTTAATTTATAAGAGATCTAAATTTTTGGCGTAATTCCCTTAAGAATACGAATAATTCGAATATTTGAAATATTCGAAATTGGAGTGTCTCGAAACAGATGGCATTGAAAAATAGAATTTCAAATAATTTCAAAAAACACGACGACAAAAATTCCCTTCGAAGGAAAACGACGCCATCTCTCGAGACAATAACGAATCGAGAATCGAGTAACGAAAGGGAGAGGAGAGTGAGCCTTCGTGCCCTTTCAAAGTTCCGCGAATTTTAGTATCGCAATTATACGGAGGCGGTGGGAGATTGAGTCGGGGCTCATAACTCTTGCCGCTCGTAACGTTCAGCTGCAGACTGCTCGATCCTGCATTTCATAGGCCGCCAGATGTTACGTATACTACATATCAGCAGCTACCACTTCACGCGAGCGTACGTATTCATTACTGAATTACGCCCGCAACACGCTTGTACCCCCTTCCTCCCCTCGTCCCTCCCGTACAGGCGCGCTTCAACCGCGAATCGCCAATACCAAATCTGCCAAACCGACCCGTTTTCTTTCTCTCTTCCTCCCTCCCCCTTCTTTTCGCGAGACAACAGGGAGATAGGAGTGAAGATAGAGAGAGAGAAGGATAAAGATAAAAGAGATATAAGAATGAAAAAAAAGGGAGGAAGAGATATAAAGAGGGATGGGGATAGAGATTGAGAGGGGGGAGGGAAGTGTTTAAGAACATTCGTGATAAGTAGTTACAATTGTATCGTATTCGTGTGAGTGCTTGTTCCACTTTGATGAACAAGAATATCGTATTTATATATTTCGTTTATTGTAAATAACGGTAATACAGGTGAGATTTCTTTCTATTTTTAATCTGTCTCGATATCAGGATGTTGAAGTGTATTGAAAATACATGATTTTTTTATACGAAACTTTTGTCTTTTGTCGGAGAAAATCAAAGAAAATTTACGTGATTCTTAATTCCCAGGAATTTATTCTTGAAAAATAAGTTAAAGAAAGAAAAAAAAAAGAAACCTAAAGTGTGTGCAGTGAAAGTTGTTAGAGGCTTTCTTATTGAGAAAATTTGAAAAAATGCGATTCAAGAGAAATAGAGAAAAATTTATTTTACGAATCTCTTCCGATTTTATATTTATTCGTACATAAGAATCGTACCCTTGTTTCGTTTGTGTCGAGATCTTTAAATACGCGCGTGTATGTGAGAAATTTGAATGGAACGAAGTTAGAAATTGAAAAAAAAAAAAAAAGAAGAACGAACATACAAAATCTCGAAGCTATTTTCACAGCGTGAAAATAACAAACAAGATTAGACGTTAGAAATATTTCTACAATTATTTCTTCGAAGAAAAAAAATACTAAAATAGAATTTTATCTTAAGTGAAAGATAATAAAGATAAAAGTTGGAAGAAAAATAAATATCGATTAAATTTTCTTTATCGTAGAGCAAAATACTCGTTTGCGAGAGAGAGAGAGAGAGAGAAAGAAAAAGACAAGATTTTCGATAAGGAAGCGAAACGAAGAAAGACGGGGAAAGAGAATTATTACGGAAACTGGTGCAATGACACCTAATTAAATTCAGCATTATGGTCGAATATCGGACTGTCTGGCATCTCTATACCAGTTCCTAGTTCAACCCTAAAATGCCAGATAAAGCGATATGAAGTTAAGAGTGGAGAATTAGGTGAGCTCCCTTGGGGACTGCGTATATACGTGTAACGTAACGATATTCCCTTACTTTGAATGTACTTCAATTACAACATTCCGACTTCCGGGATTCTACGTTTCTACTTATTCGGTAGAAATGCGCCGTGAAATTGCTATTTCTGGTATATACATTTACGCATTAAATAAAATTAAATTCTATTAGCACATAATAAAATAAATTTCGATTATTAAGATTATTTCTCTTCGAGAAAATACAGATGCTACGATTTTAATGCAATTTTAAATCGAGAAATTCATTTTTACGACAGGTATTTATTTAAAAAAAAAAAATTTCACATTTCTATAATATCTTGCAATATTTGCAAGATAATCAAAACTGAATTTTTCACAAGAGAGATTCGATCGGAAGTTAACGAAAACCGATCGAATGGTGAATGAAATTCGATCGATTTGAGAATTAAACGAAAGGGAATTAGAAAAAAGAAAGAAGAAGAAGAACAGGTGAAGGAGGAGGAGGAGGAGGAGGAAGGAAGAAAAATAGAAAGTTGGTAACTAACCGGACACGGTAAGGAAAGGAGCGAAAGCGAATAGAACTCTTAGTATCCTATCAGAGGTTTCACCGGCCTCTCGAACATCAATATCGGACAAGATCAGAACTTAAGGCAATTGCGCACTGATACAACAAAGGGCATCGTCTAACGCGGTTATACCTCGTAAGCGAAATTCTATTGCTATATCCCATCTCGAGCGTCTATATTGGCCTCTCTCTGAGAACACAACCGTTCTCTCATCCCTCTCTTCTCATCATCTTCCTTCCTTTCGTCTCTCACCTCTCTCTCTCTCTCTCTCTCTTTCTCTCTCTCTATTTTAGTTCCACCCTCTTACTCCCGTCCTTCCGCCATGCCATCTTTCCCTTTCTCTTTCTCCCCCTCTCTATCAATACCGACCTAATCTACTTTGCCGGCAAATAGTGTTCACGTTTCCCAGACAATGGTTTTCTCTTAGCTGGATATCCCCTACGCCTCCGACACATCCCACTATCTTCCGCCTATCTATTCAATACACCCAATTGTGCCTCTTATTCTTTTTCCTTTCTTTCTCCCCCTCCCCCTTCTTTATCGAGTATTTATTAATTAAACGACACCCACTCTCTCTCTCTCTCTCTCTCTCTCTCTCTCTCTCTCTCTCTCTCTCTCTCTCTCTCTCTGAGAAACGTATCCTCTAAAAACTTAATCCTTGGAGATTCGTTTCGTTTCGAGACGAAGCTTTTTAATTTACAGATCGCGAGAGTATTTTAGGAGTTCAGAGAAAGGATTTAATGATTTAAACCTCGTCGTTTAAAGAAGGCAATCGATGGCAATTGCACTTCCGTCGTGCACTATTTCGGGTAAGGGGGAGGGTCAAAATTTTGATATCCGGTCGAGATATCGAAGAATCAATCGAGTGAAATTTCAAATTGATTCCTCTTGATCACGTATCACGTATCATATTTTCCACGACGATTTTCCAAGACGCGAAGTGAGTGAAAATTGCAGCAAAACTTCGGAGAGCAACCCACTCGAATCGGCCACGAATCCTCCACCTAATTGATTCCCAACGTTCGAGCACGGTGCCGCCAATTCTCGACGAGGGTTAGTAAAATTAAACCCGCGCTAGGTGAATCGGGGCCATTGATTATCACGGGGGTCAAGTGTTCGAGCTTCCTTTGAAAGCCGCATTACCACCCCCACCCCTTGTTTCACAATCGGCCACCCCGGACAATAGGTACACCGTTTCATCGTTTTCCAACCTGACTACTACGTTACGTGGACTCCCTCCTCCTCCTCCTCCTCCCCTCCCCTCCCCTCCCCGCTTCCTTCCTTCCCTATTCAACCATGCGACCATGCGAATTTCGCGCCGTCCCGCGACATCCCGTCTTCCTGCCTCTGATTGATAACGCGATCCTTCCTTGCCCTAACATCGATGCACAGAAACGTAAGGGTAAAAAAGAAAGAAAAAAGAATTGATGGTGAGTACCGAAAGAGAGAGAGAGAGAGAGAGAGAGAAAGAGGTAAATTAAAAAATTCGAACAATTGGAGAGCATCGCTTATCTCGAAATTTGAATTGCACTTGTTGAAATTTGTTTTAACAATGATTCCTTGAATTTTCAGATATAAATAGATCTTCTATAAAAAGAAAAAAGAAATAGAGAAGTTTTGAACATAACATGATCGAGGAATACGAAGAGGAAGAAGACGAGAGAAAAATCTTGCGTATGTTTAGAGGCGTTTAAAATTAATGAATAAAATAATCCTCATGGAAGATAAGAGTGTATTTGCTGCTGCATATTTAATTTTTTTTTTTTTTTGTTAAATAACTTCTAAATTTAATTTTTTAAAACATTTCCAAATCTATTCTTGTGAAAATTATATGAAATTTTTATTTTCTAGATATTTACCCACCACCCTATAAATTCGAGGGTATAAGGCATCGTATAAGCGAATTTTTTTACGATTTTGAAAAAAATCGTACTAAGATTAAGTTTCCTATAAAGTTTGAAAAATTTAGAAAATTGTTTGAAAGAGTGACACATTTACATAGAATTCCTCATTCGTTTTCAGGCAAGTAAAATTAAAAAAAATATTACTTTTACGAATGATCGATAGCTATCATTTTTCGCTTTAATTATAATTTTAAAATATATGCTAATAAAATAATATTATTATATTGAATGATGATAAATTATAATATTAATGATAATTAATATGAATATTAATAATATTGTAATATAATAAGTTTATAATTCGCAGAACACACGGAATTCGGTAAATATCCATATGTAACAACGTGTCCAAATTGTTTAAGTTACATAAAAACAGAAATTCATTATCATACTACTGGTGCAACGCGTGTTATAGCTACAGCTTTCATCCCAATCTGGTGAGTATTATATTTAAAAAAAAAGAAAGTATTCGAATAAAAATAATTGAACATTCAAAGAAAACGGAAATAAATTTTAGCATGTGTATAATACCATATATTACGACTAGATATAAAGATGTAGTACATTATTGTCCCCGATGCAAAATTTATTTAGGCGTCAAGTTTGGAAAAGGTAAAATTTTATTTGGTCGATTTATAGTACCGATATGTTGATAATATATATATATATATAAATAATAATATATTCAATAATTTTGAAAGTCTGAATTGCCATAAAAATTATAATATTTATCGATAATGAATATTTATTTTAAGATAATGTTATTGATATTTATCATTATTGATGTATCTATTATATATTTTTCAACCTTTGTAAATAAAAGTTTTAAATAAAATTAAAAATAATTATTTAAATATATAGTATTACATATAAGAATAGTATAGACAAGGAGAGCGAATAATAGAAGAGGACATAAATAGGATAAAAATTGCTAGTGGCGCCATCTCTTGAGTATCGCAAATAAAATATATGAAGATAAAGAAAGCAAATAATAGAAAGAGAACATAAATAGGATAAAAATTGCTACTGGCGCCATCTCTTGAGTATCGAAAATAAAATATATGTAGATAAAAATTGCTAGTGGCGTCATCTCTTGAGTATCGCAAATAAAATATATGTAGATAAGGAAAGCAAATAATAGAAAGAAAATAAATAGGATAAAAATTGCTACTGGCGCCATCTCTTGAATATCGAAAATAAAATATATGTAGATAAAAATTGCTAGTGGCGCCATCTCTTGAGTATCGCAAATAAAATATATGTAGATAAGGAAAGCAAATAATAGAAAGAGAACATAAATAGGATAAAAATTGCTAGTGGCGCCATCTTTTGAGTATCTAAAATAAAATATATGTAGATAAAAATTGCTAGTGGCGCCATCTCTTGAATATCGCAAATAAAATATATGTAGATAAGGAAAGCAAATAATGAAAAGAGAAATAAATAGGATAGAAATTGCTATTGACTCCATCTCTTGAGTTTAATAAAAAGATGTTTTCAAAAGCATTCGAGAGATGGCTCTAGTCTTTAATTCTTACCTACTTTATCTTGCTTTTGAAAAAGTATCATTAACTGCTACGAGATGGCGCTGATAGTCAATCCAATATAAAAATTCTGAGTCACTCGCGCAAATTCGAATCTTTTATCACAGAGTAGATATAAAAAATCTTATAAAAGATCTTACATCTAGTCTGTGCTTTCTATGATTACTACGATATGATTGAACGAGCAGAAAAACAAAAATGTATACGACTCACCAATGAATACGAAGTACGTGCGTTGCCATTGATGATGCTTTGGTTGAAAAGAAAATCATTGTATAAAAACCTCAAAACTGGAACAAAATCTGTAACAAAACGTGAATTTAAAATTTTAATTTTTTGAAATATTAATTTTCTTTACATTGTTATTAACAATTAAAGTAAAATACAAAGAATAAAATAAATGGTAAAAAATAATATAAAAACAATTACCTTTTTGCATAATGGATAATCGCCTTATATATTCTTAAAAGAAACACTGACTCTATATAACCGAAAACGAATATTTAAAAAATAAAAAATAATAAAAAAGTATTAAGTAACGCGTCCGTTTATCATTGTACAATCGACGAACAAACACTGACTCTATTTCGTATAAAACTATTATTATCAAATTTAATGAGAGCTATTGTGCTCTAAAAAATATTAAAAACATTATTACGTAAATACTGACTCTAATAACTGCATTGCACGTAATCACAATAATCTGTAAACAAAATAATAATAGTATTAGTGGATATAGAAAATGAAAAAAAAAATATATATTCTCATTTTTATTTTTTCTTCCTATCAATATATATGTTTAAAAAACTGCTACTTTTAAAAGAATTAATTATTAGAATTAATGATATATTCTTATTGCATATTAGAAATATTTGAAAATTTTTCTATTATCATTTTGATATTTTCAATATATATAATATTACTATGTATATATATAAATTATTATATGTATTATATATATTATATAACAATATATATAAATTACAATATATATATATATATATATATATATAGTAATAATAAATTATAGAACTATAAAGATATTATACTACTAGTAATTCAATAAAAGTAAAAAATTACATATATCTTTTTTCAATATAGTAACTCAAACTTTACCTCTTCTCCATAAAACAAATTATCATCATAGCGTCCATATTGAAAATCCTTTTTCCCGCCTAAAGTAATTTCAGCAATCAGCTACTTATCTGCATAAAAGAAAATTAAATCTCTAAAAGAAATGTATAAAAGTAATATAAAGAAATGTATAAAAAATATAAGATTAATTGTATTGTAAAACAAAAATATAATCTAATTTATGTTCCATTTTAGAAGATCATAATACGAACTGGAACTCTAATAGTCAAATAAATTAATAAAAAATAAATTATTTTTCAAAGAACTGTTAACTATATTAACATTTTATAAATAATTGAACAAACACGTATTAATGAAATAATAGTACAAAAGTAAAAAAAATAATAGTAATATATATAAATAAATATTATAGAATAGATAAATCACATACTTGAAAAGAAACGTCTAATCGTCACAAGTTTAGAGAAAAGAATGACATCTCGCGATTTCGATATATCGAAATATAAATTGAGGAATATGCTCAATAATCGACATATCGAAACTTGTTGAGCATGGCATAAACGCGAGTCAATTTAGAAAGCTTAAATCATAAGAGATATTTTCAATCTTATACGTAAATCAAGAAATATACAAATAACGAATTGAATATACAAATAGACTTATTTAAGACACAATTATATATAAAATATGTATATGAATCGGTTATTATAATTTAACTATTTCCATCATGTGAATGAAAAGATAAAAAAAATGTATATTAATTATATTTTTATTAAAATCTTACCATATTTGTATAAATATTGTCGAATTATCTTTTAATTCATGATATATGCAGAAACTTTCAAAGCTATCCCGCTTTTGAAATTCCAATTAAATGATAATTTACACTTTTATGATAAAAGTTTAAAACACTATTCAAATCAAATTTAATGTAATAACTAAGTTAAATAAACATATATTAATTAACAAAGCTTAATAATTTCTACTTAAACTTAATAACCGTAATATAATAATCTATCTAATAAAAATTTTACGTAATTACACACAACCGGTAAAATGCAACTTATCACCACAATTTTAACTCTATACTGACATCATGCGCATTATGATGCGCAATGATTCATTTTGCTAAATCTTAGCAATCTTCTAATTGGTTAGAATTTCTCCATTTTCTTATTTAATTCGCGCGAAAATTAAAGTATTATATAATATGTTTTAATTATGAATTCCAATTGCACACGATCAGAAAATTAAATTAATGTTTTTTCATTTCAATTATAATATTCATTTTAAATTATAATTTATTTTAAATTATAATTTTTAATAAAAGAAAAAATGAATTCGATTCGAGGAAGAATCGAAATATGAGCATAATATGAATGCAAATGCAATTTCAATTTTTGTAAAAAGATATACAATAAAAAATATTTTCATATCTCGAACATAATATAAATACACATAATAAAAAACAAATATAATAATAAAAATAAATAATATAAATAAATATATTTAGAAAAATAATTTAGAAAAGTTCATTGAAAATATTTTATTATTGGCGGATTAAATTTAAGTCGCATTTTCATATATTGTAGCATTAGTTGCATTTTCAATTCATCCAACTATTTTATATATAAAGTTTTATGTTATATATAAAGCTTTCATGTAAGTTTCCAATCGCAAACCTGAATCATTTTAACGTAAATTAGCCATAAAAATTAAACGCATTCGAGTACGCGGTTCTGTATGCTCAAAGTGCCAGTCATTCAACATTTTGATAATAGTTGAAACGTTTTGTCGTCATTCATGTTGTATTAGATCGTATTAAAAAAATACAATGGGAGCTGTACGCGTAATCAATGATGATGGCCAATTTTATGGAGAAATGGCTAGTGCGGGTACAAAATTGGTGGTAGTTGATTTCACAGCAACATGGTAAGCTTTTTAAGGTTACATTAAATGAAAGGTTACTAAAATCTGAAAACTTCGATTTCCATATTTGCTGTATAAACCTATTTAGTTTTTAAATTTTTATTCATTTTTATATTTCTTTTGTAGTCAAACATTTAAGCAATAATTATTACTTTGTAGCATTAATAGCCAAAAAAAAATATAATATTTTTATATTAGTATTATTAATATATTATATTTACACATTTATTTATTAATTTGATTTGAATGAAAAATATTAATTTTATATTTCAATTTCGGATTAATAACATTTTAATATAATTATAATTGATATTATAATTTCAATGAGTATTTAAGACAAACAAAATAATTTTTATTTTTTTTCCTAAATTTTAATATAATGTTAATTTAGTAATTTTTAAATTAATTTTTAAATTAGGTGTGGTCCATGCCAGCGAATTGCACCAATATTTGAACAACTATCACTTAAATATCCAAATGCAGTATTCCTTAAAGTTGATGTAGACAAGTGTGCAGAAACTGCTGCTATGCAAGGAGTTAGTGCAATGCCCACATTTATATTTTACCGTAACCAAACAAAATTGGGATTATGTCAAGGAGCTGATCCAACTGGATTGGAATCAAAAATTCTACAATTTTATGGCTCTGGAGATTTAGAGGATTCTGAGAGTCCAGTATCTGGACATGTACGAAATAGTGATAATGTTTATTACCATATTTTTGGAATGATATTTCTTGCTGCAGTTCTGTATTTGTGGAATAAGTACCAATAAACAAGTTGTGGTAACCTTCTTTCAGTGGATATTAACATTATAACTTATTCATTAATTAAAAAAAAAAATGTCATCAATTAAAATATATAAACCATATTGATTTATCAATTGCATGTATTCATAATTTTATAATATTTTGTAAATATCATCACACAAAATTGATTATATATATTCAAAATATAAAACTTGTACCACATTTAGATGTTTTCACTCTCTTCTTAATAAAAAATATTATTTACATACATATATTTCCCTGGATGTCTGTACCCAACTTTGTTATATAAAAATATATATATTATATAAAAATATTAGAAATAAAGATACTAAATATATGATTCAAAAATTTCTCAACTATATCTTTTGCAGATGGATCTAGCTACTTTCATTACAAAAGCACAATCTGAATGTTTAAATGAATCTGATGATCACAATTTCTTACAATGCTTGAGTGCTGATGATGGATATTTGGAAAGTGAATGTGATGAACAATTAATATTATCTATTGCATTTTCACAAGCAGTTAAAGTACATTCTTTAAAGATTAAAGCTCCCAAAGATAAGGGACCAAAAAATATTAAATTGTTTATTAATCAACCTAGAACAATTGATTTTGATATGGCAGATTCTAATACAAGCATCCAAGATTTAACGTAAATTCATCATTTTTATATTATTTATATTATTTAATATATTATAAAATCTATCTAATAACGTTATATTTTTTTTTGTGTAGATTATCAGCAAAGGATATTGAAGAAGGTAATCCAATTGCCTTGCGTTATGTGAAATTCCAAAATGTACAGAATATACAAATTTTTGTAAAAGATAATCAAACTGGTAATGAAGTAACAAGGATTGATTACTTAGCTATATTTGGTTCACCAATTTCAACAATAAATATGGGAGAGTTCAAAAGAGTAAATGGTAAGAAAGAAGAAAGTCATTAACAACAAATAAAGAATTGTAAAAGAGTATATTATATCAAATAAACTTTCAATGGCCGTCTTGTTTTAAAAAAAATAATATTAAAATTTTGTTGTTTCTTATGATTTATACATGCATTTTATGTATTCAGAATCTCCATAATTATGTAACGATATAATAAAATTCCGTAGTTTATGAAATAACAATATATGTGTAATTTAAAAATTATTTGTTTATTAATAATTTATTAACAGTAATAGAGTAACGAAAAATTTTGTAAAATAAATTGGAGTACGTCTCTGCATTTCCTTCGATATATATATATATGTATATATATATACATATATATATACGTATTTATATTTAAAAAAATATTTAAAGAATTTTTACAAATGCACTTGCTCAAGGATTAATTATTAGGTGCAAAATTTAAAAAAAATTATTGTATTCATAAATAAAAATAATAAAAATTAATAATTATTTAATTATTTTACCTATCTAAATAAAAATTATTTACATGAATATGAAATGAAATTTGTTCAATATCAAATACATTATATCTTAAAAATGCTTAATATAACTTATCATCTTATCATGTATAAAATCGCAACATATACTTTTATAAATTATTTAATTATTTAAGAATAAGCTTTATGAATTCGCCAAATACCACCACAACGACAAGCTCGTGCCCATCTTTGATCCCATGCTCTAATTGCAGCTGTTCTTGTCATATTTTGAACTTGAGCTTTTCCAACACACCTGAAATTTTAATTTAATTTTAATTAATATAAAATTTTATATGAAGAAAACTTGAAGAAAATATAATCATTACTATTCATTATATATAATACCTTGTACATTGCTTAACAAGAAGTGGTTGTTTTCCAAGATACAAATGCCTTATACCATCCACAATCTGACCACTATGCATACAACCTTCAATTGGATTAAATTCAGGTACAAATAATAATTGTTCTGGCTCTATGCTATATTCTAACTATAATTTAAAAAAAAATAAAGGATTAAAAGCTCTTTATATTGAAGAGAGAAAGTACTGAAAAACTTTTTTACCTGCAAAGGAAAATTTTGATAAAAAAGCACAGGTGTAGCAATAGCTGTTAAACTATTGCCTTGATGTAATTGAGGTATCATAATTTGATTAGGTAACAAGCAACAATCATCTGGAAGTAAATCATTATCATAGTAAAATAATATATTTTATCAAGTTTTTCATTCCATTGTTCTATTTTAAAATAATCACTATCAAAAATGTATCTGTTTAAATATATCTTTTATTTTGCAATTCTTATTTATTATTAATTTATAATTTATAATTTAATCAATATATACTTATGATAATATACTTTGGAATTAATATCTAATAATAAAATAATAATTTAAATCTTTATTAAACTAGAGAATATTTAATTATATTTCGAATAGAATAATTATAGAATAGCATCTTTCAAATTTTCATTTTCTTCATCTTTAGAAGTATTTTCTAATATAAGAATTGGTTTTCTATCATTTAAATTCATGGACCACTTTTTAGCTGATTCATAATCCGACTCGATTTTTAAAAATACTTCAGTTTTTTCACTTTTTGGACTTTTTATATCCGCGATAAAATATGTTGTTCTGTGATCTGTTAAATTCTCTATTAATTTTTTCTCTTCTTTTAAATTTTTATTTACATCTTTTTCAGTTGGAGAAAAATCATCAGAGAAAAAATGTTTCTTTTCAGTTTCTTGAGGATTATTTTCTCTGTTTTGTTCAGCTTTCTTAGCTTCTCTTATAAGATCAATAAAAAACAATTCTCTCGGTGAAAGAGATTCTTTTGGTGTTTTTGTATCCAATTCATCTTGCGGAGTAACTGTTACCAATTTTAAATAATCTTTTATCGATTCTTTTTGATTTTTCAGATAATTGTTTCCAGTCTTTAATAGATATTCATCTTCGTTATTTTCATTGATACTTTCGTTAATATTCTTCTTTACATTCACAATTCCAGTATGTTCGATATCATTACCCGAATTACGACGATGAATCACTAAAGGCGGAAGATCTCTATATCTTTTAAGTTTGTTATATCGAAGTTCATCAGAATTATTAATATTTAATTTATCATGTGAAATTTTATTCTTATCAATAATTAAATCATTCAATGGTTTATCTTTCAGTTTCGTATTTTGCGAATAATCAAGTTTAGTATTGATTAAAGATCCGGATTTCAGAGTACTGTTCGTACCATAAGATTCCAATTTTATTTTATTGTTGCTTTTAATTTCGTCACATTTCCAAATGATAATCAAACACAACATAATGAAAAGCCAAATTAGAAACGCAATGAGCCAATATAAAACGAAACTACCTGACCAAATTTCAATCTTGCCTGAATAATGATTGGCAAAAGCACTAATTAAAAGGGGTGTCAATATGAACCAATAAATAAAAAATATACAACATGATACAATACAAAATATAACTAATTTGTATGGTTTCGAATACGGGAAACAATTATTCGATTCACTTTCCTTCAATAACAATTTTTGTTTTTTTAAATTTATTGAGTTTGTATGTTTCACCGCAAATTTATCATTCATTTCAAAAAGTAAAAATTAAAATTAATAGAAATCTAAAAATTATAATACTATCGCACAATATGTTTTATGCACACTGGCGTATAATACCTACTCTATACATTTATCGCCACGAAAAAATCTACAATTTCCTTTTTAAATACGAGGATGTGGTTTTATCTTACTTCCGACCAATATCAATGATAAAATTAAAACGATTATTATAATAATAATAATATCATAATAAATGATTATTTATAAATATTATATCGCAATTTTATTACACATATAAATATTACATTAATATTTATATTACTGTTTATATGATACATATTATATATATCATGAAAGAACTTACCAATTAGACCATCATCTATTTGTTGAGTTTGACCATCACCATTTGGTTGAATCAATTTTGATAATAAACGGAATAATAAGGCCAGTACATCGAGATTATCAGCACTACGAAGAAATACTGGAAGACACGAAGGACGCAGTAAACCCCATATACGTATTATCACAAGCAATTCTCTTAATGTATTCAAGGCTTTATGATCTTTCAGAAGTTCATACTGCATCACATAAAAAAAAAAAATTAATACAATTATCCTATTTTGACCAATATATTATTCAGAATTTATTTCTAATACTAACACCGCCAGACTTCATTTGCAATCTCTGTTCTGGAAGACGAGCCAAAAGATTTAAAGCCAGATCTGCGACCCATTGAATCAATTGTTGTAATGATTGTAACGTACTTGGTTCCACAGTAAATTCTTTAGGATCGAGATGTAAAAGTACCTAGTAATTACACATATATTATGATTATAGATTTATTGAAATTTTTGCCGCAAAAAAAAAAAAAAAAAAAATATTTTAATTTTACCTTATCTACATCAGTGATTGCTTCATTAATTACTGTTGCTAAACTCTCTGCTGGTCCCTTATCATGAGAAATTAAATCTGACGGCCGTAATAATGATTTAAACGCGGTTGCTACCGAATGTATCATAAGTAACGATGACAAATCGGCAGCTTTACTTTGTCCTGACACTAACATTCTAAAAATATATCATTATTTGATATGAAGCAACGTAAAATCAACATGAAAATTTATTTAAGAAATAACATGAAACCTGTACAATGATATTTTGATGCAAAGAAATTGAATATAATGATACTGTTGTATAGGCTGCAATTGTCTATTAAAGGAAACATCCAGCCTATCGCACAATGGCTCGATCATCGAAGATCTTAAACACAAGAGTACGTCCAACCAATCTAATCCCGTTACTAAACAATATTCTAATAATGTACAAGCATAACTTAATGTTAATGATGGTCCTATAAGAAAGTTTTTTTAATATAATCTTTACTTTTCTAAGATAATTTTTTTTTTTTATATAAATTTTTACATCAAAAAATAAATTACCTCCATCAGGTAGTAATTTATACAAATATAAATTTCCGCGTGTATCACAAGCTAAAAGTACACAACCAAGCCAAGATATATCTATATTGGTTATCGAAACCGAACTTTTAAAATATTTGTTATTAGGTTCATCAGCTCGCCATGCCATATTTAAAGAGGAAAACGATATTTCCTTTAAACAATCACGACTTAAACAATGTATCGATGAATCCGCTAAAGCTACTATAACATAACTTGGAGGAGGTAATGTGGTAACTATAGATAATTTTGTAGTCGCTATCGCTGCAATCGGAGACGAACAACGATATTGCGATTGATGCTGCCATACCTATAAATATGTATTAAAAATATATATCATTAAGTTGAAATTATTTAAATTTGTTGTATGGAAAACAATTAAAACTTTAAATTGGAGAACACATACTACTACAGTTTTAAATGGTTCTAACGTTTTAGGTTGAAATAATTTGTGAACTGGCTGTGATTTTTCTCTTAATTCCCATACTTCCACTATACCACCATTATCACTATTTACTGCTATGACTAAGGAATCTGCATCCTCTCTGACTACAAACTTCAAATGTGTTACACTTGTATCTAAGAAAAAAACTTTATTATTTGTCATATATTACAATATATGATTAAAAAAAGATTATTTAATCATACATGTATTGTCTTTTGGTGCACCATCTTGTAGAAAAAAACTAGGCAATGCTTGTGAAGTTATAGTACATTTATCATCATTTTTACGTACTAATACTCTATAACATCTAATTGGTAAATAAATATTTCCACTACTTATAGCTACTAAAATATGACCATCTAAAAGTTTACAAAATGTTATATTAATCAACTTGTTGAAAAAGAAATAATTATTTTAATATTGTTTTACAAATAATAATATTATACTTTTTCCATAACATAAATCAACTGCTGTTATCCTGTGTCTTGTACTGCCTAAACTCTCTGTAGAGGAGCAAATAGGATTTTGAAAATCTTTTGTAATCATAACAGCACCAACCATGCCTGTTGTTGAAACTACTAATACACCCTCTGCTGCTCTGCCTCCAAATTGTCTTACAGAGGGAGCAAAAGGTAAATGATTAAATTTTTCACTATAATGAATACTATCCTTTTTTTCTGTTACCAGTCCTGTCTAAAATATTAAATTTTTTCCTATAAAACAAATTCACCAAAAACAATAATAAAAAGAACTTCTTAATACTTTAGAAATACCTTTTTCCCATTGTGAAACCAAGCTGCACCTAATATATGTTCACCAACAAAACAGGTAGAGCCAATTAATACCCAATCATTAAGAACATGATCCTTGAACATCCATAATTGAATATTTCCAATAGAATCAGCAACAACTAATTTGTCACCTGGCAGATCCCATTCTAATGCGGTGATAATATTTTTGTTTGATAATACTCTAATTACATATAATAATAATTAATTTTATGAAATTTCTTGAATAAATTATAGATAATAAATTATTTATAAGTATTTCATACTTGTGGGTATGCCAAGGCATATTCAAGTCACAGACATAAACATGGGATCCCCATGTTTTTCCATTATTATCATCTAACTCTGTAGTTGTAGTAAAAGCAACAATATTACGACTAGATAACGAACATAAAGATTGTCCCTCATACAGGCTAAAAATTTGATTACTGTATAAACATTAAAGAATTAAATTTTAAAAATATATTCTCTCTGAATTAAACATAATTTTATATTATAATAATAATAATAATAATAATAAAATAATTATATATAATTAAAATTTATGAAAATATATTTAATCAATTACGTAAAATTATTAATATTACAATAGATAAAATACATTTCATTTTTTAATATTTTATTTTTGACAATATATAAATGTAAATAATAAGTATTTAATAATAATATATATATATATATATATATAATAATATATTATATATATAATATATTATAAATAATAATAATATATTTATATATTTTTTTGTTATATTAGTAAAATTTATTTTTAATAAAATATTAATATATTAAAAAGAATATTTGTATACAATAAAATTGTTTAATTGTAAAAAAAAATCACATACCTTTCTTGATTTAGAAAAGATTTTGGAGCAACTTTTCTATTCACAGTATATAATAAATCCATTTTTAAGGTTATACTACATTACAATTAAAAAAACACTATGACAAAGAATGCATATTCTCAAAAATTAATTGTTTATTATTTTTATTGAATTGTTAACACAAAAATATGAGACGTATCGGTTATAATTTTTAATAAATTATATAACAAAATATTATGAAGAAAATGACAACAAAACTTTAAGTTCTGCACTGTCGTCAGCAGTGCGTCATGTGCTGAACTGCTATGTGTTTGTGCTCTGACCCATCCGAATTATGCATTCTTTGTTCTAATTTAGGTCATTTACAATTATGATACATTTATCGTTATTTTTAATTATTCGATTTACAACTGAATTATAAAGTAAAAAATTGCACTTCAAATACGAAAATGGTACATTATTATCAATTAATTGATTTATACAAGTGTTAATGCCTTTTAACCTTGCTCCATTTGTTTTGATTCGCTTTCATCCCTTAAGACTGGCTATAATAAATTATATTTGCATTTTTCTCTCCTTATTTATTTCAATTTCCTGTACTTATTTGTGCTGTAATAAAAATTGAAAATATTGCTTAGACTTTTTGTCAATTTACATTTTTCATTATTCATTTTTCTATGCTGTTTATTGGAATATGAATACATTGTTGCTTAAATATGACATTAAAAAAAAAACAATATCAAGATTGAAATGCATGATCTATAAATAAAATAAAAATTATGGATAATAGATTGCTAGAAATTTTATTTGCCTATATTTTTATTTTTTGTGTACTCTGCATGTTATATTTACTTTTTAAAGTATATGTATATTTTAAAATGATATACTTATCATTAGTTAATTAAATATTTAATTATTTTTTCTTGCTTCTTGTGTAAAATTTATTTCTATTCTATCTTTATTTTTAATTTTATATATATAAAAAATCTATCATAATAGAATTTTTGTATATATATTTTTAATTTTATATGTGAGTATAATTTATGAAATTTATATGTGAATTTTGATGCATTCCACATTATAAGATATATAAAATTTTAATGATTTTATTACATAGAAAATGGATGGCGATCAAGGAAAGGATACTCCTTGCAAACCAACTGAAAATATTAATACTAAATCTGCAAAGCCATTAGGACTAAGTACAAGAATTGCTCTTGAAATATTACAACGTGATGTTAAAAGAGTTTTACAAGAATATGAAGAAGAGTACAAAAGAAATAAGTAATTTCATTACTTATTTGTTATTTATATTATTTATATTTATAAATAAATTCCATATTTTATATTGGAAATATTGTATATATTATGTGCAGAAAATATAAAGCTTGGCTAAAGGATACATTACATCATCGTAGTCAATATACAACTCTTTGTTGGACTTCAGCAATTGCACTTTTGATCAATGCCATTATACTTGTTATTGCATTCTTCACAATCAACGATACATGGTATGAATTAAATCAATCTCTTTTCAGGTATCAAATATAGTATTACATAAAATTTTTTTTGTAATAATTAATGCTTGTAATATATATTAGCAATAGTATATTATTATATTTAATTATATTAATTATATATATATATAATTAATATAATTATATATTATATATATATTAATTATATTTATTAAATTACTGCTATAAACTTTTATCCATAAAATTCATAAAAATGGTTTACAAAAATTATAAAAATTAAAATATGAATTATTATATGTAATAAATAAAATTTGATATCATAGGTATCCTACACTGCCTTATGAAGGACTGACTGTTTGTTGTCTAGTGATGTTAAATTTTATTTTAGTCGTATCTGATAATAAATTACGACATGAAGAAATTCCTTATAGAGTACAAGGTCTCCTCGATCAATTAGAAGGTATCTCAAAGTAATTAAACATCCAAATTTTATTACACATTAAATAAATTTCTTTTTTAAATAATTGTATTTTTCTGATTTCAGTGGCAAAAAATACTTGCCAATGGAATCCAGAGAATTATCCACATTTATGCAGTCCACTATCTCCTTGTTTAACTTTACAGTGGACTTATCGCGATGGTCGCATAATTAATTTACCCTGGGCATTGTTAGTTGCTAGTGATATAATTGTCATAAAACCTGGACAACAGGCACCTGGATATTGTGTCCCTTATGATGTAAATTACAATTTTTTAAATTTAATACACGTTTGATCACATGAAATAAAATTCTAATATGAAAAATAATTTTAGGATGCTGATGCACCAGTATTACATGCAAGAGAAGTATATAGTCCTCAGGTTCACAGTGCTAATGAAATATTTTCAACACCACAGGCACGAACGCCTTTAAAGAATAAAATTTACAAACTTCAAGAAACACCATATTTAATGAATCTCAGAATGGCTCTCGATCAAGCTTTAGACAGGCCAGTCACGTATCACAATCGCAAACGGCATCTTTTAATGATATGTTGCATTGAACAATTGGCTTATCCAATTCTTTTAATTATCGTTCTAGTTGCTAATTTATTTCGATATATGTATGTGTCAGAATATTTCGGTGTCGGTTATTGGAATGAAATGTTCTTGCTACAACCGATCGCTATTAGTATCCCTTTACTTCCGTTAGTATTCCCGACTTGTTGGATTTTTTTAAATTGTTTCGGAATGGCTCGTTTCAAAGCTCTATTTAAGCTTTATCAATCTTCGAAGAAACTTCAGGTTAATACATCATTAAGATAAAAGAATTTTCTTTGAGTATCGGATAAATATTATTGTATCGGATAAATATTATCCTAAAATTCATTCATTTTAGTTTGTGGATCCTTTCGAAGATGCGGATATTTCCGGACCTAGCCATCCAGAAGTAGTGTACAATTGGTTGGAATTAAAAGAATACTTTTTTGATATATTGTTTGGTAAAGAGCATATGATGTCAAGATCCGCTAGTATTCTACATGTTTTAGGATCAGTCACGGTATTTTAAACGACGACTTTATCTTTAAATAATATTAGAGAAAATGAGTGAAAGCAAGCCAATTTCTAGGCACTGTGTTGCGTGGATAAAAAAGGGATCCTTTCGTGGCCTAATCCAACTGCCGAGAAAGTATTCTTTTTACGAAATGCTAATACTCTATCCCCATCTTCAAGGTAAATATTTATAAAAATCGACGATTCTTTATCAATATTCAATTTAAATATCTACAATTAAAATTATCTTGTAGTACTGGTAGTTTAGATAGAAACTCGGAACCTCAGTATCAGACACAAACTGACGATTCCAAACAAGATTCGAATAAGACATCTTATGTGACTCATGGTAAGAGAAAGAAAATTAAAAAAATATAAAGTAATTCACAAAAATATGAAGTAATTACAAAATAATTGTTTTTAATGAAATAATTACAAAATCGTAAATTCACAAAAATAATTTTCAGATATGTCCCATTCAACAGCTGAAGTTTTGGATCTTACTCATGACCATGCTTTACCATTTCGTCTACAGTTCGATGACCATTCTTGGAGACAACATTTGAACTCATTAAAACCCCTAGGTTTAGCGATTCTTCTCAACACATGTAATATGGATACGCAAGAGCACTACATGCAGTTTTGTTGCCATGTCACGTGTGAAGCTCTTTTTAACGAAAATCTAGTACCAGTAACGAACAGACGGTAGGTATACATGTCTCTAGGAATGTATTTATCGTTTATGTGTTTTTTTTTTCGCAAATGCATTTCTTCCCCTCGTTTGTCTGCATTATCTCTGCAAAACTAATTCTCCTAATATATCTATCAATGCTAATTACATCCAGTTTATCATATGGCAGTTAATCATTATCCTAAGACAGTATCCAATGGTAACACGTCCAATTTACCAGTAACGTTGATCATACACATTTGTCAGCTACCAGGATCACAGTATAGAAGATAAGAGTGGGTATCAGGCAAAAGATACAATGCAAAGTTCAAGACAGGTGTATTTAGTCGACGAATCAGGGAGCCTTGGACATATGTGGTCAGTCCAACCATAGTTATTTATATGTATCCTCCTCGTATTTATAGTTATCCTATATATATGGGTGAATGTTATCTCCAAACATACATATATTCATGAGAATGCTAATCATGGGACAATCTGATATTTCTGTTTTATTCTATTCTTTTCTACTCATCTTTCTTAATATGTATAATGAGTTCATTTTATTTTATGTATATGATTTTTATAGGTGTTTATGCGAGTTAGCCAAGCAGATAGGTTTCCAAGATCAGGCACAAAATATATTTCAATTGGAGCAACAATTGTCCACGTTTAGGCATGTTGTAAGCATCACTTTTAACTTTTTTCTTTGTAATTCAATAAATAGAAAAATTATAAATGTTTTTGTTTCAGCAACCAGAAATGGTTCGGCGAGATATCAAATTTGCACGATCTTTGAGTATCGCGACGAAGTTAAAATTTCCATTTCCACACATGGTAGCTGTGGTAGTTAGAGAACGCAGTGGTGGAGGTTTGCAATTACTTACACAGGGTACAGCGGATATAATATTGGATTCTTGCATCGAATTTTGGGACGGTCATGATCTCTGTCCATTATCAGCATCGGATAGGTATGAAAATATTAAACTTTGAGAAATTTCATTTATATTTTTATGTTATATATATATTTCAGGAAAAAAGTACAAGATTTTTATCAAAGAACGAGCTTAACATCATATTGTACTGCATTTGCGTATAGGCCATTAACACGTGGTATTTGTGATAAAATGTCTAAAATATATCTAGAACTTCCTGCAGATAGCAAACATTTATATGCACCTCATAGAAGTCCTACTCCTCTACCTTGGGATTTTAGAAATGTTCTTGATCCTAGAGTGAAAGGCATACTTGGACAATTTCACTCGACTGGTAATTACTATTTTTTTCATTGATTTATTATTATCATTTAATATTATTCGAAACTGTTAAAAATTTTATTAACGAATTATATTTTTATACAAATTTTCACAGATTCTTTATTGTGCAATGAGAACAAAGACGATATTGTAAATGATGTTGATAGCTGTTTTGACATTCAATGTAATCAAGTTTTTATTGGTATGGTCACTATGCAGTATCAAGCACAAACAGATATGGTAAAACATTTTTATCGATTCAAAATAAATTTGTAATAAATGAAATAAATCAACAAAAATATTTTATATATAAATTTCTATAAAATGTTTAACAGGTACAATTAATTGAACAACTCGACAGAGCTTGTATCCGATTTGTTCACTTCAGCAAAGAAAACGAATTAAGATCACGCGTATTCTCGGAAAAGATGGGCCTTGAAAGCGGATGGAATTGTCACATATCGTTGCTCAGTGAAAGAGCTAGGTACTGTACCTCTTTCTTCTATCAGCTAATTATATTAAATGTCTCTATAAACTATTTTGCTTTGCTTTTTTTTGCTTTTGGATTAATATCTGAAAAGTTTGGGGCATGTCCTCACGTTGGAAAGTACAGACTATCTTCTCTGTCTTATATGTGTAAAGTTTTATATGTATACAAAAAAACATATTCAACACAAAGTATCACACTAATCGTATGTTGTTGGTGTTACAATTTTCTTCTCTTTGTCAATTAATCTGAATATAATATATATACACAATATTACATAGATATATGTCGTCTCTTAGTGTTTCTTTTTTCTTCTTTCTCTTTAATCTTAAATTTAAAATAAATGGTGGCAACTGATATAATGAATTTGTTTAACTAGCTATATTCGTCATAACTATGGATGTGAATGTAAAATATGCATGTACGTTACAGGAGACAGCAATGGCTGGAGAGATATCCACACATGCCTCCATCGTATATGTTTGTCTATACCTCTTTCTTTCATTATTGTTACTAATTTGCATGTTTATTCGTTACGCTCTTTATTAATAATTCTTTTTTTTTTTTAATTTCACTTATAAATATCAATTCTTCATAAAGTTTTTTAAACGTTCTTCGAATGCGATTAGTTGATTTGTTTCTTCCCCTTTGATTTCACTTTAATTTATATGTATTTTAATGAACAGAGTTCAAGTTTAAATGTTTCCTTATATATATTTTCTATTTATTCCATAATTATTTTAAAGATTAGAAAATTAAGTTATGTTAAAACGATTGTATTTGTGCTGATAGTTAATAATGAAATACATTACCATAGTTTAATGGCTTCTTTCATTAGTGAAAACAAATTTATATTAATACTTTTTGAAACTTAATATATTAATTCTTTCTGTACACTTCAACAGTTATTCTTTGCACATGTGTTAATATCTTGTAATTTACATGACATACAAAAAATACACATAAATAAATGTATGTAACTAACACGCCAATAATTAGGTCCGAGAGTCTAGTGGGTTGGTGGGTGAGCCAGGCAGCAGCCATGTCCTCACCCACTCCCTCGGCCCAATCTCATCAGCATAATTACTCCTGCATGGATGAGGCCAGCCACTTGCTTAATCGTGTCTCTCCTCGGTATGTTACATAATTTACCCTCTTATCAAACATAAAACACTAAAAAAAGTACATTCATCATTATCTATTACACACTAACTACTTTTATTGAAGGGGATACATTTTAAAGAAATTAACTTTAAGTTTCTTCCTTTAAGTAATTATTTAATGAAATATCTGTATTTTTTTTTTTTTTTTATATCATGTTAACATCTTAATCTATTATATATATATTAACATCTTAATCTATTATTATATATATTTGTATTATATATAATATATTATATATATTATATATAATACAAATATAATTTTGAATAATTTGTATTATTCAAATTACATTATTACAAATAACGATGAACAATGTTATTTTCTTATAATTTCCAATAATACAAATTATATGAAAATAAAATAAAACATGATATATTTAATATAGCATAAAAAGATACTGATATTTTATTGAATGATCATTACAATGCGAATTTTTATGCGATTTAGAAATGTTCAAATATTCAACCAATATATAAAAAAATATATCATATATATTTTATTAAAACACTTTCAGAAAATAAAAGAAATTATATTACTAAAGATTTTTTTTTATTCATTCCGATATCTCAATTGATTGTTGAGATATAAGGATTCAAAATTTCATATTATTTAAAGCAATGCAAAGATTATAAAAGAACTCGTGATTTACATTTTTTTTTTTTTGGAAATGCGTATTATATCTTTTAAGAATTGTATACTTTTTCCAAGAATCGCGTTTCTCACTTGTCTAAAGATTGACATAATTCAATGAAACGAAGAGATAGAGGTAGCAAACGATTAAAAATTATTTCTTTCTTTATATGATGATATCTCGGAAATCGGAAATCGTATTGAAATAAATGAAAAAGAATTTAGAGTAAAGAGAATAAAAAGTAAGGATCCGTGCCTCATATGATCGTTCATTCGCTGTTTGGAAATCGTTATTCTCGAAATTATAGTATAGTTCTCGAAGTATAGTTTAAAGTTTTTTTAATTTTAATATAGTTAATTAAGTTTTAAGGCAAACTATAATAATTATTCGGACTTAGAGAAGTCATTTTTTAATTGAAAAACAAGGTCAAAAACATTTTATTTTGATTTGAAGAATCATCCCTTAAATTTTTAAACAGTTAAATTTAAATCTATAGTCAAATATTCTTATATAAAATATGAAAAATATGCATAAAAATCCGCAACCTGATAATAATCTAAAAGGAAAGAACAAAGTTTATCCATTTTTATTATCTCTTCCTTAAAAGATATATCTTTCGCTTCATGATATACGATTACTCGAAATCGAAAAAATCGGCGAACACTCGAAATATTAAGAGCATGCATTCAAACATTTTTGCTGCATAATTATGCTGCATCGATGTGTTTGTGTTACAAGGAATTCCCATCATGCATGAACGGTACACGAGATAATCATGTTTCCATAGTATGATTCTGTTTTGCATTGTAGTACCAATTTGGATAATAGCCGTGCCATGAGTATGTCAGCACCAAGCGCTATAAATACCGATTTCTCCACTGTGAAATTCGATGATGAAACCACGGAATGGAACGACACAGGAACATCTCAAGTTAAAAGCGCTATGAGCCACAGGTTTGTCCTTCTTTAAACTTATTATTTGACATATTTCTTTGAGAAAATCATTTATTTTTGCAATTATCCTTGAGATTTGATTTTCCTATAATATTATTTTAAATTTGCATGGCAGTCTAAGTCATCTAGTACAAAGGATCACGAGAACAGGATCAGCACACGTTTCGTAATTATTTTTCGTTCTCCCTTGATATTTTTCCAAATAGAGACTAGATCTTTTTTTCGTACCATTATCCGCTTTTTTAGTTCTCTCGTTATTTTATGTATGCTTTAATCTTTACATATTGGTAGATTTTTGAAACGTGCAAAAATCCTAAAATATAAATTGGATTGTGTTCCCAAAAGTATCTACTCGAAAATTCTCCAAAATAATTGGAATGAATTTTCGAGGATTGGAATTCTCGAAAGCATCAGATTTTTCAAAAGAGTTGAAATCCTCAAATATGCCAAAATTTTAGATATTTAATATTTTCAAGAATTTCGAGAATCCGTTTTTCAGGACTAGATCTTATTAATACAGTATAACCATGGTTTCAGCCCAACCCAGCCTCTTCCCGATCCATTCCAATCGTTGGATTCCAGCACACCTCTGGTAGATTAATTCGTTCATTTCGACTTTCATTTTGTATTTCGATTTCGATCACGTGCTGTAACTATTTAACGAATAATCGATTCTCTATATAGGGAACAGGACACAGTGAGAAGCGAAGATAGCGTGCTTGTACAAAGTGTAGACCTGGGTTCCGGGCAAGAAGCATGGCGATCTTTGAGTTGTCTCACAGACAGCACGGAGCAAAGTGCTCCTGTAAATTTTGACTTGTCGAACAGAGTGAGTTCCCGCGATAAAATTTCTTTCTTTCCTATATTTTTAATTTGTACATCCTGTATCTAGGCAAAACTACCTCGAGGCATCGATAAGATTCGACCACACATAGAATTAATAGACAATGTACCCCTTTTGGTATCTCTATTCACCGATTGCAACACCGCTGTTACAAGGGAAATGTTGCACATTATGCAAGATTATGGAGAAGTCGTATGCGTACTTGGTTCCTCTGCTAACGCAGAAAATATGCCCATCTTCATGCAAGCAGATGCAGGGTAAGTATATTAATCATAATTGAAAGAATTTATAATAAAAAAAATGATTTTTGTCTTTTTCCTGAGATATTGCATAATTCCTGAAATTACACAAATATAATTAATTTTTGATTAATAACATATTCGTTATACATTGTCGCAAAATATCTTCATAAAGCAATGTAATCAAATTTTGAATCTAATAATTAAAATTTGGCAAGAGTCGTTTTTTGAATTTACATATGTTCTTCAATTAAAAAACAAATTTTCTGTAAAAAAAATTACTAAATATATTATACATACAATATAAAAAAACTATCATAATCTATTTAGTTATGCAGCGACCTGGAAGCTGATAACTCATATTATAAATCGTGTCTCTTTCAATTTTGGCGGTGATAACCGGTTTGTAGAATACGCGAATTCTCTTCTTAAGTGGTTCTACATATTGATATGACAATTTATTCGTAGTTCCATAATCTGGTTTGAACTTAGTCTGCCAAAATTCTCGTTTCCGTGGTCTCTTGACATTAACAGGTGTATATTGATAAGATTCCTTCATTATTGTTGTACAATCCATCGGTATCGATTGTTGAAGTTTACCTTGATACGGTTTAAAAGAAATCGTTCTTACGTATCCAGGATTTAAATAAGACGTTTTGTTAATGGTCGTCAAATCATGATAACCATGAATAGACAAATTTGTTCTTGGAATGAACGGTTTCCGTTTTTTCGTAGTTGAAGGAAGATATGAGAGCTTGTATATCGTATCAGATTCGATTTTTCCGGGTTTCGTCGTTAACATTTTCTCGTATTTTGCAAAACTGGTCCTTGGTTGAGGAATAAAACTTAATTTTGAATAAGACAAACTATATGTCGTATCTGACTCGAGTTTTAAGGTTGGTCTCTTATAAGGTTGATGATATAACGTAGAACGAGCTCTTTTTGGTTGCAAGTATCCATCTTTACATATAGAATTCTCTAATTTGTTTGAAATCTCGGGTGCACGTTGAGAAACGTCGACGATATACATTTTTATAAAAATTTAATCACGCATGGAATAATAAATTCGTATAAAAGTTTAATCGATATAAAGAACGTGTCAAACTGTATTATACGTTCACTTATTTTATGCAATGTTCAAGTATATAAGAATATAGAGAAAATATTCTTATATATTGGAAAAATATTGGAAATATTGGAAATTTTATTGAACTTAAAAATATTTATGCGATTGATAATATACGAGAAAATATAATAATAAAATATATCTATTTCTAAAATTGACAATATTCTTGATCTAAACTATGCAATTTTGAAAATGTACAATTAAAAATATGGATATTGTTCCAGAGTGGCAGTAGAACCATTGTATCCACAAGTTTGTCAAAGAGTTCCTGTATTGATACCAACCAAAGACGATCAAGGTCCATCTCCAGTTGATTTAAGCAGAGCATTGAATTCTGTTGCTTGCTCTTTAAGTGTGAAACGAGAAGATCCAATTGCAATTTTTCACTTAATCATGGAGGTGAATAATGGACTACATGAAATTTTTAATTATAACCATCTCCAATTTGATTTCATTTAGAAGAATTTGTATAATATATTCAATTTCCAGTTTTATTAGTAAATTTTAGTTATTATAATTATTGGACATTATTTATTGCATATTTAGGCTCGGCATTATATGATGTGCCTCTGGAATTGCGTGCAATTCTGGCTCTGTTGTACAGTTACTCTCTCCTTTACACAAGCTATGTCCGGTTTCCTGTTACTACCGCCCTTATTTTCGGTCGATCAAGTCTTATGGTTGTGCTGCTTAATCATTCCAATATTATCTATATCTATGATTGCTACACCAATGGATCCTACCATAATGCAACGTGCAACTGGTAAAAACCAATGTACTGTAAATGGCCAGGTAAGAAAGGATAATTGTTATAATAATAATAAATGGATTACACATGATTATTCTAATTTATTAGATTCTTACCAACGTAACTGAAGAAATGGAATCTTGCGCTTCCTTTCATTTTAGAAATATTGAAATATTTAAAAAATTGAAATTCCAAATAATAAATGCATGATCATCCTTAATTTAACAATGGAACATTATTTATTATCGGTACTTTGTATTTATATTTTTCTGAAAAAATTATCTCCATATAAAATAATTATTAATTTTAAATAGTAAAATTCTTTAAAAAATTCCATGTTACAAAAAAATGTAAACTGTTAGAGAAAACATTTTTTAGATTCAAAAAATTTAGAAAAATTCTCTTTTGAATTTTTTATAAGTACTTTCTTGATTTTTCAGGTTGCATTGTTTGTTCTTTGGTGTTATGGCAGTAAATTTTTGCCGACAGTCATAACGATAGTTCTGTCGCAATGTATCTCGTTTTTATCTTTGTGCCCTACTTACACACCAGATTCTAAATGCTTGTATGTATACCCAGATACACAAGGAGAAGTTTCATGGGGTGGTTGGGGTGACAAACCAAACATTATTTTAGTGATACAACATTTCGCTTTGTCGCTGTTAGTTTTACATTTAGGTAAATCTTATTTATTTTCTAATCTTTGATGAATATTATCGAATTTTTTAATATTTTTTTTTTTTTCGTACAGTAACGATATCCATAAGCTTTGTACATAGAGAATATTCTATCTGGAAGAAACAACCCTTTAACAATTACGTATGGTTTTTCAGTGCATTTATAGCGTGAGTAAAAAAATTATATAAGATATATATATTTAACTCAAAAAGTACTAATATCAGTATTCAAAAGTCATGTCACTTTTTTATTTTTTAAAAAATATTTTAATTTTTTAAATCATTTTTTATAAATCATAAATTTTAATTATAATTGTATGCGTGTGTTTATATTATATCTAAAATATTTCTTCAATTCGAATCAAATTTTTTAGATTATGCGCACAAGCTGCATTCTCAGGAACAGTGTTTTGTAAATTCTGGAAAGACGAAGGGCAAAGTATAAAAGATTTTCCTTTACATCTTCCCCTATTTTTCTTAGTTTCATTACCATTAATCTTTGCCATTAACGAATTGATCAAATGGCAGGAAATCAAGTAAGTTTTATATATTATATTATATATAATTTTATATATTATTTTATAAAAATAAATATTTAATTTATTATTCTAATATTTGCAGGGTAAATGTGAGGTATCAAAAAAGAGCACGATTAGAATTTGGTACAAAACTTGGTATGAATTCACCATTTTAAAAAAATTTTTCTTCTAAATAAAAAGGACTAAATATAAATATAAATATAGCCAAATAAATATATGTATATGTATATGTATATAAGAGAACAAAAATACTCAAGTTTCGCATAATACCATTACTGTATTAAGCTATATTTCATGAAAATCATTGGATATTCTTAACTTATGAATTATTTATTTTATAAATGCATTAAACGTTATTCAAATGATGTAATTTAAACTATTATAATAATGTTACGATTTAAGGTATAAATTTATTCATATGGACATGGATGTATAATGTTTAACATTTACGAAAAAGTATTAGAAATCCTCTATTTAAAATGAAGTATCGCTGGTGATTTAGTAGCCTTGTGAGATAATTAAAATTAATATTCTCGAAAACCGTATAGGTTTGAAATGTGTATAATTGTTTTCATAATTCGATATAAATTGATATAGTATTTATATTTTTGTATAACAACAAACGAATATTTTATATGTTAGAAATTAATGTATCATGATGCGACACTCGCTATTGCAAATGTATTGTATTTAATTTAAAATATTTTATAGAAAAAATTTTAATTCAAATTATTATTTCCAATTTTCAACTTGTTGAATTTTAAATTTTCTGATATATAATATTATATTTAATGTAATATAATTATATTAAAATAATTTTATATTTTAGAGAAATTAATATACTTAGTATATCCTCTATTAATATATTTAGTATATCTTGTATAAAAAAAATCAGAAAAATTTATTTAATTTTATGGATATACTATTTATTAGCATTTTGAATTTATTATTTAAATAACAAAGAATATAGAAAAAATTTTGTAGAACAATGAAATATAGCTACTATTTAGATTTAATAATTTAATCATATTTATAATAAATATGTATTTATATTTATTTTTTTGTTCCTATAGAAAATAATTTATCTTCTTGTGATAGAATACAGAATATTTTTTCCTTTGGAGTGTCTGTTTTGCATGACTAGAATTATATTATTTGCAAGCATTATTTTGTGTGAATGTTTTAAAGAAATTATTTTATGATATATTATAACTCGCACTTAGTAATAGTATATAAAAAAATTCAAAATTAATATTTAAGATTGAAGACCACTGTAGTATACGAAATTTTAGTATAGATTTATTCTAAAAAAAAAAAAAAAAAAATCTATTTCTCAATGGAAATAAATTTTATATAATTATTTTACTTCATATCTATAAGATATACATATAATTTCAATTTAAACGTGTACAGTTCATTTAAGTGTTCAAATCTAAGCTCCATTAGATTGATAAATAATTTCGACTATAAAAAAAAGAAAAAATTTTTACAAAATTAACATCTATTTTATGCATATTAATAAAAATTTTTGTATAGTTGAATTTTTATAAAAACAATTGAAGAATTTAGTTAAAATACAATGATTGTAATATAATTAGAAATTAAAATAAATTTTTTCCTTTACATTTAATATTTTTTTTTATTTCCTATAAAATTTTTCAATATTAAAAAAAGATATTTTTTCATTAATTAATTTAAAATTTGATTAATATTGAAGAATAAAATTTATAGAATTTTGAATAAAGAAATCGATAAAAAATATAAAATCACAATTTATTTATTATTTTTTGTAGAGTGGTCAAAATTAGCATGATAAATACGACAACACATATAATAGTGAAATATGTAGCTTCATATAATAATTTCGGCGAGAATACTGACCATATGAACAAATGATGGCGTTGAATACTAATTATAATTGTATATAGAGTCACCGGTATTAATCTCCACATTATGTACATTTTATTAATTTGTGTGATTATTTCATAAATACTAAAAATATATGTATAACTTTAATATAATATCTTAATATAAATCTTTCGAAAATTAATTTAAAACTTCGAAATACTTACTTATATGGATGCTCCAAGATCGAATTATAAATAAACAAAAAATAGGCCAAAACCGGAGATGAATAAGTATTAATTAACAATAATGAACCATTAATAAATGGGATATACGATTGTACACCAACGTAACCCGCAGCTACATCAATAGTTGCTAAACTATTGGAATTTCCCTATAGAAAATTACTTTTTTATTTCAAATTTGTTTTGATTACAGCAATTATTTGATGCAATTATTAGATTATTACCTGATAAAAATAAAATACATTGCCAATCCAGATATATAAGATCACACCAACATCTTGAGAAATACCGTTTTTAATTATTTCAGAAATTACATTGCTAAATATTATTTGAAATGGTAAAAGTATCACATTGTGTGGCTTATGAAGCATTGCTGAGATCATAATCCATGTTTTTAGAATAAAATACAAAGAAATTTTTAAAAAGAGTTTGGCATTGTGTTTTTTTGTTTGGATTATATTATAAATATAAGTTGAAAAATTTATCAAGAGTAAAAACCAAAAAATTTGTACTTCGTATATTCCACTATAATCAATGATTGTATTTTTAAATATATGTATAAATTTTTAATGTGAGGAAAGCCTTACCTAGTTTGAGGATAAAACACTATTTTGGTAACATTACCATTATGCATATGACGAAGATAAATACATATACTAACTATTGAATTAAGTACTAATGATTGTATTTTATGTGTTTTACTTTCATGACTAAAATCAATCCATATCAAAAGTATAAGACCTAAAGAAAAAATAATTTTCAGAATATATTCTCTGATTTTAATATACAATTTAAATGGTAATTTATAATTTAATTACCAGTAACAAGTACAATTGTCATGCTCAATATGTTTTCTTGTTTTAATAAAAATCCTGCTATATCAGGAAGATGAGCATATTTGTCCCCAGTACTATTTAATTTCCTGAGAATTCTGTGTCCTATCAATAGTAATAAAAGTTTAACGATAATTTGTGCATGTATATATTGTCGGTAATTCTTGTAACTGAAATACAATTGGAAGTTTAATGTCTTAAATAATTTAATATTTCATATTAAAAAAAATTTTCTTACTATTGTATATATAAAAAATCTCTTGAAAAATATTTCGCGATAAAATGGTAAAGTAGCAATATAAGAACTGTGACCCAATAAAAATACCATGTTTGATGTTCTTCTTCTACAAAACTACTACTACCAAGACTAATTGCATGTATTAATGCTCCAAATGAAAGAAACCATTTTCCTATTCCATTTTTTGTTTTCTAATTTTTAAAAAAAGAAATTTTAAAACACTGTAAAATTTTTATATAATTTTATGTAATTATCTTTCACCTTAGACATAAAAATATTGAAATCTCTAATATTGACAAGTAGATAAGAATGTATAATTAAAACAATTATGATACATAATACTATTATATTGGCAATTAGATTTTTTGTATGCAGTAATGATATATTTTCTTGTTTCCAAAAATGATTGATTAATATCCATGAAAATATATTTAAAATAATGAAAAATATAATACTTTTTAATGTAGAAGATCTAAAAGATATTTTTCCTACTAAAATACAAGTAATCTGAAATTATTAAATTGTTAAATTATTTTATTGAAAAAATCTAAAATAGTAATATATTAAACTAATTTTTAACTCTTACGTGACATAGAAAAATTATAGCTATTATTATTATTTGAAAATCATATTTTATTGTACTGTTTATGAGAATTTCTTTCATTTCTTTTAGTGCAATTTTATAGGAAAGCACAATATCATCTGTTATGTCATTTGGATGATCTTTAGTATTTAACCAAGCATTATGAAGCTTTATTGCTTCCAAATATTTTTTATATGCATCTGTAATAATGAGAAAATTCATCATATTGTTTAAAAATATTATATATAATTAAATATAATCAAATAACTCACATTTAGACTCATAATCAACTAGTTTTTGAAAATGACTAAAAACTTGCTTTGAATTATAATAAAGTATAAATAATTTCTTTGAGATAGATAAATCATATAAATTATCTAAAAAAACTGTCCCTATATTAGAATGTGGTATTGGTAATCCCAAAATAACAGATAGTGTAGATGCAATATCTATTTGTGATATTTCTATGGGATTATTGTAATTTTGATGATATTCTCCACCAATTGCAATGAAAGGTACAATTGTTTCTGATATTGTTGAACCACCATGACCACCAGAATCTTTCATCCCATGGTCCCCACAAATAATAAACAAAGTAGAATCATTATTTTGATTCTAAAGATAATAAATTTATACTAATTTTTTATAAATATAGATAATAAATTATAATTTCTATATTTTTGATAATTTTACTAAATTATATTATATTTAAAATATTTCATGTTATATTACACCTACCCATTCTTGAACTTTAAACTGAATTTTTGCTATTACATTATCCATTTCTTTAAGTTTTGTTTTAATTAATGGATTAAATGGTCCATAAACATGACCAATATGATCAAGTCCTAAGTAATGAAGAACCATTATAGACCAATCATTATTATTATATAATTCTTTATGTATATGCCTAGTTACATTGTTATCAACCTTTATTAATTAAATTAAAATTATTATATTTAATTATATAGTATTAAATATATATAAAGATTTAATGAAGAATTAAAAAATACCTCAGTAAAATCTGTTACAAAAAATGATGTGGTACCATCATAACGGTCAAATATAAAAGGAAATAATGTAATCCAAGTATCATCTCCATAAAATATTGATTTATAACCAGCTTGTTTTGCTTGAAAAAATATACTATCACCAGTAACTGGTTTACTTCCAAAGTTTAAAGCTACATCAATAAAACTTGGTATCATACCAGTGGTAATTGCCTAAGTTATATAAAATATTTTCTTTATATTTTTCTAATTTTTAAATATAAAATATAATATAAAATTAATATAAAATATATATATATAATATAAAATATAATATAAAATTTTTATTAAAAATCTAACACCTTTATTCTAGGCATTGTAACAGTTGGTGAATGTACTTTAGTTTTTAACAAAGAAACTGAAGAATTTCCTATGAGACTACTTGTTACAGGCATTGCAATCTTTCCAATTGATCCTGTTATAAAATCCCATCTTAAAGCATCAATAATCATAATGATCAATTTTTTAACCATAGGTTTATATAGTGCATCTATCTTTATTCTAAAAGATGCATTAAAAGTAATTAAAAAATGATTTTTTTATGAACCTACTTTCTATATCTATATATTTTTAATTTAATTATGAAACTCACCTCACATTTTCTATAGACTTTGGTATATTATCTTGTGTGGCTTTAGTATTATCATAATTTATTAAAGGAAAAAACCCATATAAAAATAAGGCAATAAAGAAAGGCCCAATAAAAACTATATACAATAATATTATATTTTTATTCATTTCTTTTCCTGTAACTAAAAAAAATCTGCCATCACAAAATAATTTAATTTACAATTATATCTCTCATTTTTTATCACGTAAAAAAATTATATAATTTAAGCTTTTTAAGGTTAAACTATTAAAAGAAATATAATAAATTTTTAACTATATTTTTTCATTTCTCCATTAAAAAAATATCACAATTTGTATTTTCATATCATTATTTGTTTATAAAATATCTATGAAAATTATTTTAAATTACATTAAAGATTTCCATATCTTATAAGAGTATATTAATTTCTTGCTTTCGTAATGGCGGTAAATTTTAAAACAAATAACAGTAGTAATATATTATGCTATAATTTTTTGAAACTACAAACATGTAAACAAACTAATGCATTCAATAATAAAAATAAAAAAATCGTTATTGCATAATTCTAATTATTACTTAAGAATATATATTTCTTTCAGGAAAAAGCCCAAAAATATTCGGCAAGGGTTACCAACTAGTTATGAATTTGATGCAATTAAATATAAATTTTTTTTACGAATAAAAAGATTAAAATTTTACTTGAAACTCACACTTCACAATTTTTTAAAATTGCTTTATAACTAATTAAATATTTTGAAAAATTCAATTACAATATTTTATGCAAACAGTGATGATTACAAATCACGCTGTATTTCGTTGATAAAACTCGAACACAATCCGATCAATAAATGGAAGTAGACTTTATTTTATCAAGTAGAATTCACTCAGTCAGCGAGTACTCGCAGTGACGCATTATGTTTCGGTAATCAGAATTTCAATGTAGCACAATTTCTAATTTTTTGTCTCTAAGTTGAACTATCAAATTGTTTGAATCTTTTAATACATTGTAAGTACATAAAGATATCTTTTCCTTTTTTAAAAAATTTTATTTCATTTCTATAATATATATTATTATTTCTTTGTATACAAAAACATTTTACTGTCTTTAAATTTTAAATTGCATATTTGATTTACATTAAAAAATTAAAATTAAAACTTAAAACTTAAAATTTTTTAAGTGAAAATATTTTAAGAAATATTTATATACATAAAATTCCAGAGAGAAATGGCATCAATAGAAGAAAGTTGGAAAGAAGCAATTGATGGTTTAGATAGTGATATCTGTGATACATGGTTCACAAAACTCCAAGAAGCTTATTCAGAAGAAAAACGTACTTATCATAATCTAGATTCCCTTCGTGATAAATTGAATTGTTATTATGAAATTAAAGATAACTTAAAAAATCCTCAAGCTGTGCTTCTTGCCTTATTTTTTCAAAAGTAAGTAACAACATAAATTGGAATGAGAAAAAGATATGAAATAAAATTGTAATTGTGTTATAGCTTTGAATATGATCCAAAAGCATTAGATGGTGAAAACAAAAATTTAGAGCATTTTAATACATTTGCAGATGAAGCTGAAATTCCTACTGTAATTATTATTTTACAATATCAAATTGTTATTCTCTTAATGAATAAATGAATATTAAACTCTTTCTTTTATTTTTTGCATAGGATGCAGTATTAAGAGAAGAAACTTGTGAACTTTTGAAAGTAGCTGCAACACATAGTACTGATGCACATAAAATTGGTGGTGCCTTTGGTGGTGAAGATGCTCATTACTTTTTAGATTTGGACATGGCTGTGTTAGGTTCTTCTCCAGAAAATTATGCAGAATATAGAGAAAAAATACGTGGAGAATATTGTTTTCTTAGTGAACCAATGTATACTGCATTACGTTTGAAGGTAATAATTAAATATATCACATATAAATATAAGTATTTCTATTATGAATTATTTCCTAATTATTTATTTTAAATAAATTAGGTATTGCAGAATTTTGTGCAAATTCCAAATATTTTTGCCACAAAGGAATTTCGTGAGAAATATGAAGAACAAGCACGACAAAATATTCAAGCTGAAGTTGAATTGTTGTCTTAGAATAATTAATGAATTTTATGCATGAAAAGATGTATCTTTGTAAATGTTTTTGTTACTAAATATGTTTATTAATTAAAAAACAAAAATAAGGTTTCAAAATTGACACAAAATTCTTTTATTGTGTCAGTAGACATTGATCTCCATGTAGAGTAAAGTAGCACAAATCTATATTTTGTGTATTAGTATTTAAGTAATGTCAAATGACATCATACAAAAATGAAATATATTATTAAATAAGAGATACATTCATGTTTCACATTTAGCATAAAAATTTTTTTATGCTAAATATATTTTATTTTATTAAATAAAAATAAGATATATAATTTTATAATGTAAATTATAAAATTCTTATTTCCAATACTAAATATTGATAATCACATGAATGTATCTTTCTATATTTATATTATAATTTTGTTCTTTTTTTATTTATTTATATTATATTTTTGTTTTCAAAATAAAATGCTAAAATTTATTTAATAACGCTTTTTATACTAATAATATTTAAATAAATTTTTTAAACATTTAAATATTAAAATTTATATCTTGGTGTAATTGCTTCTAACTAAAGTTACACATGTATAACATTTGTAACTAATATTAAGAAATTTATGTGTATTCAATTAATAAAAAGATTTTAAATATTGTTATATTAAATTACATATGAATTAAATTCACAGTTGTAAAATTGAAATAATGTAAAACGAAAATCAAAGAATTGTCGATCTGTCATAATTTATTTTATTTAACTAATTAAATTGATGTAAATCTTTAAATATATTATTACAAGATAAAAAAAATGCATAAATTATTTAATTAAATGGAAATTTTATAATTTATTATTATTTATCAAAAATAATATCAGAAAAAAAAGATAATATCAGAAATTATATAATATGCTTTTTTTTTCTTTTTACTATTATTCTATGGAAATACAAAACTGGCAAAATTATTGGCAAAGTTAATAATATCAAAATAAATCAATTTTTAAAAGTATACATTAATTGTTTGATTATACACGTTACTTTAGATAATTTTATAAAAAATTATAAAATACATAAATAATATTCACTAATTAAATTGATGATAGTTCACTAACCTTGATACTATCAATTTTTTCATAATTCAAATTATGCTTTATTTCAAAATAATAACTTTTTGTTTAATTCAAATTACACACTAAAGTACAAAAAATATTTATACAAAAAAATAATATTTTACATTAAATAATACTATTTATATTAGTCAAAGATAGACTGATATTTTAAAAAAGCGCGGTTTCTTAATTATAACCTCGCAATATTTCGATAATTTAAATCGATTCGATATATCGCATAATCGATATTAATTTGAATGTTTCTTATTTATTTCTTAACAATTCTTATTTATTTTTTACAGTAATAAAAATGATTTTGAGAATTAATTTGAAGAATTAATGCGAATATTTTCTTTATAAATAGTTTCAAAGTATAAAAAAAAAATATTTTTCAATAATTATTTTATAAAATGAAAAATGAAAAATGAAAATGATAGTACCCCATATAAAAAGAATATATTTCTTTTTTATTCATATTCTCATTATATAAATATTCAATACAAATATAATATATTTATTGATTTTATTTTAGCACAAGATTGATCAATCAACATTGTTTAGTTTCGTTTCTAAGTAACTATATAAGATTATACTGTATAAGTATCTCTATGATTCCAATATTTTCAAATTTAAAAATTATTAATTATCAATACAATTTTTTATTACCAAATATAAATTTTAGTATATTTTAAATGGAATATTTATATTTTTAATTCTATATTTTATTTAATATATTTCATTTTTGAAATATGGATAGTCATCTTACGAGTCAGGAAAATGAACGCGAGGTAAGAAAATAATTTTACTTCATTTTTTATTATATTTATTATATTATATCTATAAAATATTATAGATATTTTGTTTTCAATAATATTTTTGACTTAATCTTTTTAATTTTTTAATTACCGTTCTTCATAGTATAAAAACAAATTAAATTAAAATTACTTAATGATTGTATGATTAATTCGATGACATGTATACACTATTTGTTTTTTTTTATTTCCATAGGCGCCAAAATATCAGAACACTTATCGTTTGAATGCTTATAATCCTTTTAAAGTAGATCCAGTGGATAAGATTGTAAAGATGATAATGATAAATAAGCTAGAAGATATCTCTTATGATGGTACGGAATGCTCGAAAATTTGTGAGTCAGTAGCCACCGATATCAGAGAAAAAATAAAAAATTTGAACTTTGATCGGTATATTTTTAATTTAAATATAATGATATTTTGTATGATTAAAAAATTAATAATTTAAATATTTTAAATTAATTTTTCTTCAGATATAAAATCGTGGTCAATCTAACCATCATAGAGAAAGCGAATCAAGGTATACAATCAATTATGGGATTTCTTGCGGACACCGAGAGAGATAATTATTCTACATTTACATACGAAGCTCGAACATTTTACGCTTATTGTTTTGCATTTGGAATTTATTACGAATAATATACGTTAATATTTTAATATTAATTCTCTGCTATTATTTCATGGCTACTTATACATGTTAATAAAAATATATTAGGGAACAAATGAAAAAATTTGTAACCTACTTATTTGATTTTGATCATGTTTTACATGTGTCGCCAACGTCAATGGATGGTAGATTTGGGCATAAGATTTCGGGAAATTTTAAATATATATGTATGTGGATAATAATAATAAGAATCAATACGTGTGTGCATGCATTGATTTAATCATATATTCATTTATCTTCTACCGATTATTGTGTCAACAAGAAAATCATCATCAGAATTTTTCTGAATCAAAAATTTTCGGAATCAAAAACATTCTAGTAATTTATTCACCTAATCACTTATTCATTTACAATTTTATTGCGCATTTTGCGCAATCTTGTTATTTCCCATCGCGTTTTTTATAAATAATAAAATCAAAGAATTAATTAAATTTCTTACTGATACACATTATTGCACTCTAAAATATAATCTCATGTAGTTTATCAAAACAACTTTTTCTAAATATAATACAATAGATATAAAGTAGAAATGTATAATAAAATTATTATTATTATAGATAAATTATTCTAAATTAAATTTGTTACATATCTCAATGGTTATCTCATAAAATCATTATATTTAAAACTTATATCTTAAATATCTTGATAAACATATTGATATTGAAATCACACGTTGGTGTAGATCGATAAATTGAACATTTTGCAATATAATCTTGAAAATTGTAAAAAATTAAATGAAAATCTTTGATTTCATTATCTACAGAAATTCAATGAATCGAATAAACGAATTAAGCGAATCAATTATCGAAAAAGATTTCACTTCAGAGAAATAATCGAAGAAATATAATTAAACATATGATTAAATCAATGCACGTGCTGACTTTTATTATTATCTATATATTTATACCTACATACATATGTATATACTTGAAATTTCGTGGAATCTTGTCTTGAAATCGATCACTCATTGACGTAGCAGATATAAAATGTGTGATGTGTTCGAAGTCAGGTAAGCATTTGGAAACTATTTTAAATTTTTTAACTTAACTTTTTTAAAAGATTCTCAATAATAACATATAACAATACGTATTACATCCTCGCAATTGTTTCAGATCTATTTCTCCGTTATGCAGTTATAATAAAATATCAAAAGAAAAAGATGAATGATTCAAAGGATATTATATCTGCGGGAAAATATTTTCTTTATAAATGCAATGCTATGTGTAATCAATATTTGCTACTTTTTAAATAGAAACCCATAATTCTTCTCCCATTATAGGTCGATTCTTCTCATCATTTTAGAAATATATATATATATATATACATATATTATATATATGCTAACAATCTTAGTACACGTTTGAAAATATTCATTTGAATCTTATGCGAAGCGTTAAGATCCAAAGCTGCTGATAGGCTCTCTCTTATAAAAGAGGAGAACACACGATCGAGTCACTTAATCGTCGAAGGTGAGTGAAGTAGTGTTTGAACAACGATTGAAACGATAGCTTGTAACTATTATTTTTGCGAAAAAGAATATCTTTAATTCTTTATTCTTTTTCGATATTAACAGATGTCCATCGATTACAACGATTCACACATTATGTCTCTTTACGTTTCAGATATTTACAGAATAGCTTCTTTCCTAAAGAAAAATATAATGTCAAGTGCGAAAATCTTTGCGATATTGATCGCAATTTTTTGTTTGGAAAATCATTTAGCTTTAAGCGAATATTGTTACGTTGACGATCGAAATCCCTTTTTGTTGTTCAGCACGAAAACTGCCTATGAGCACGTTCATGGTATCATAACCGATTCCAAACTGCCAAGTGGGTAACAAATTATCACCTCACGTTTACACATGTAATACACAAATCACGATTTCTCTCTCTCTCTTCTCTTTTCACAGATTGTAAACCATTGCAAATTTGGATGATACTCAGACACGGAACTCGGAATACCGGCAAACATTGGATTAAAAAATTAAAAAATGACTTGCCACAGATTCAACGTGCTATCATCGAGAATCACGACAGTTAGTTTCAATTTATCTTTGATATTTTTTTATCGTTTCATATCGTGGCTTTTGATTTTTCCACAATGCTTATTACTTATATTATACAGATTGCAAATTGTGCGAAAAAGATTTTAACAGAATAAAAGAGTGGAACGGATATAAACCTCTACAAAAGAAAAAGGCTGCACGATTGACAAAGCAGGGTAAACAAGACATGTTTTTCCTTGGCTTACGATTTAAGAATTATTTCCCGGAACTTTTCCAATCTCGTTCAAGCAACAGTTTGGAGAAACTGTATCAAGTAATTTTCTCAAACATAATATTCACAATTAAAGAAATTAAATAATTAATATCCATTTTTTTTTTCGATCTCTCACAGTTTAGATCGACGAAAACTCAACGAACAGTAGCTAGCATGGAAAATTTCATCAAAGGCCTTTTTAACAACGTAACCTTCAACAATATAAAAGTTGTAGGAATCCCTCAAGACACTCTGTTACAAGTATATTATACATAATAATATCATCTAAATTTTAAGTTTTTTTCATAGGTATATATAAATCAATTAATTAATCATTTTCAGTATTACAAAATTTATGAACCATATTTGAACGAAACGGCTAACACAACAGAGATGTGGGCTGAAAGTGATGAATTAACACAAAGCGATGAATACAATCAAATGATGAACAACATTAGTCAACGGCTTGGCTTGTCAAACAATATATCGGAAGAAGTTTTCAGTACAATATATCTTATCTTATTAATTTATATTGTTTCGAATGAATAAATTCTTTTATTCAATTCATTGATCAAAATTTATTTAGCTCAAATCGAAGACGTGTACACCATTTGCCTGTTCGAGAGCGCTTGGTACATCAACGAAAAATCTCCCTGGTGCGCCCCGTTTACAAAGGAAGATATAGAATGGTTTCAGTACAGGGATGATATGTATTTTTATTATCTTTACGGTTATGGTCAGCAAATGAGAAACGATGTTGGGTGTCCACCGTTGAAGGATCTCTTCAATCATTTTTCGTAAGTGTATATAATCGTAAGTGGATATCTCGGGGAGGGAGGAGAGGGAAAAGTCAACGAACCTCCTATTTGCATAATAAGATCCTTATATTACAGTAAATAATAATTAATATTAATTGTAAATAATTAAATAAAGAATTTCACGTGTCTGTAACATCACAAACATCTCATCCCTTATATGCAGAAAAAAAAAAATATTCAATATCGTAATAAATAACATTATCGTTTCTTTTTTCAGAAATTTGGAAAATGGAAATAAGGACGAACCGAAAGGTATTTTTTACTTCACCCACAGTGCTGCTCTTCAATTGCTCCTGTCCACGTTGGGATACGCGAAAGACTCGGAGCCTTTGGTACACGATACGAACATCGATAAGGCGAAAACAAGAAAATGGTACACAGCGAATCTGACGCCATTCGCTGCGAATTTAGCGGCCATTTTTTACAAGTACGTTTCAAGCCTCGTTTTAATCATTAATTTACTTATTATCCGTTATTTATTTTACTCTCGTTCCAATATTACTTTCAGATGCGATGAAGGTTTCAAGGTGAAACTTTATTTAAACGAGAGACCATTAGATTTCGAAGGATGCCCCCGAGGCACGTGCGAATGGACTCATTTCAAGAAGATATTGAAGAATATTGCGATCAACTGTGAAATGGATAAAAATGACATGTAATTATCGTTAAATTTTTGTTTTAAAATCATCGTATGACAAACGTCACGTGAAAGATACCTGAACGTATATGTACACGTTGAAATCAACGAAGCTATGACGGCGACCTTATATTACTGTCATACGAAGCTGGCATGATGAACGATACGGTCATACGTTATGACACTTTCAAATTTAGTCACGTTTGCATTATCGTTAAAATTATTATGCCCCATCTTTGGAGATTTTAATTCGTGCGTATTGTTTGATAGTTATTTCTTTTATTTCTTTAATCCAATTCACAGATTTTTACAAATGTAATTTATGTGCCACACAAATTTAGAATATCAGGGTTAATGTATTAAATAAGTTGTTTTATATGATATATTTTATACAACCTTCTTTAATAAATTATACGATTATTTGATTTTTAGTTAATTATCTTATAATTTACCATGGATTTTAATGGTAATTTATATTTCTAATTATTATCCTATCATATGTCACTTTATCTTAATCAATTTCGAGATAAATATTCTTCGTAGTATAATATTATTTTTTCTTCGATTCTCGTGATTATTACGTAGTTTTAGCAGCGTACGAAATAGACTGTACATATTGGAAGCATCGAAGCTTGACGACCTTATGTCAGTGACACCTGAACTACCGTGACCAATGCTGTTCACAATAGGTGTGTATATACTTAAACGTTGCAATGGATGATACTGTAATATTCAAAATATTCTCTTAAAAGAAAAACAAAAATTAAAAACTTTGAAAATCCATCATTTTGAAAGAAAAAAAAAGAAATTATAATTTCAATTTCAAAAATCCATCGCGACGAAATAATTGCAAAATCAATCGAGACAATATTCCTTCAAAAATTCCTTTTTCTTTAAAACAAAGAAATAATAAACTAACGAGAAACGAAGCTCAAAATTTAAATTTCTATTTCCCGAAACAAAATCAAAGAAATTTTTAATTTTTTTGACGGATTTAATTTACGGATCCGCTTAAGAATTAAATTCCATGAATATCCTTCTTTTTTCGCTTTTTTCGTGCCAATCCCTTAAAAGAACTCGTAATAATGGTAGATGCGTTTCGAACGAAGTTTGGACGGTCATGTTTTCCTTACCTTATATTATCGATCGCGCGTGCTCAAAGTGACGAACCTTTACGATTTTATAGAACACACGAAACACCAAGTTGAATCGGGGAAGTATCAAAGGCTACGTACACTAATCGTATACTGTACACTGAAACTATACGACTTTTACAGTACAAGCTAGGAGCAACGAGGCTCGACGACCTTACGCCAGTGGCACATGAGCTGCCGCCACGAGAGGTGGTATCGCGATCTCTTTCACGATTTCTATTCATATTTGAAAAGGAGTAAGTGATACAGTGATATAATCGTGTTAGCGGGAATCGAATATAACAAAAAGAGAAGAATTGATCGAGGTTCGAAGAAGTTGCTCGAGTTCGATCTACAGTTTGAATTATTAAAAGATAAAATGAATGAAAATTAATCGGGATAGTTGGAAATTTTTTTATCACGCGAGTTACATTAAGAAGGGGGTCCTCGAATTCTCGTGACTCGTACGCGTTAATCGGAAGGAAGCACGTAATGAAAAGGGAACGATCGTAAGATTCGACTTCGGAGGATCGATCGCGTCGAGGTGTTTGTAAAACATTCGTAGGATACGATTTGCTTGGATTCGAACAAAGAGATTATTACGATCGGGGAAAAGTGAATATTACTGTCGCCCGCACTCTCTCTTTCCAACTTTTTCCAGGGATTTAATGCGCCGAAACAGGGCGTGAAGTTTGGCTTCGAAGACTCGCTCTAGGTAATTTTTTCACTAGAGAATTTTTCTCTCATACTTGATGATACTTTTATTCGATGCAACAATATTTTTTTAATAATTTTTAATTTAAATTTTAATTGCGTCCTTTTTGAAATTTTTTATCGTGGAAATTATTCTTACCTCTCCTTCCTTGCGTTTCAAAGAATTATTTCAAATTTTTAATAATTTTATGCTCATTTTTTTTTTTTTTTGCCTTTTTTAACATTTATGAAACAATATGACGAGAGATAAGGTTTTAATTGAAATAAAGGTAGGTCGTGAGAACAGTACTGGAATGAAATTCATTTCGTTCAATTTTCAATGGAATGCTTATCTAGCAGGAATTTCATTTAAATAAATAAACTCGTCTCTGAATGATTAAATAGTTAAAGAATAATGGGAATTACCAACCGTGACATTTACGTTCTACTTTTGCTCGCAATTAACAAATACGATTTATTCAACAACAGTCTGTTTTATTATGTCTTCTGCTATGATTCATATTGGACAGATCGGGCAAGGAGATGACGATGCAATTAACTTCGCAATAAAGTACCAGATGTCTCTTTGTCTGAAAAATTTATTTCTCTTATTTTGTTATTTCCTATCATTATGCAGTGTTACATAAATATTCCATTACAGTATTAACTCGTTTAAAGATTGGAAAAAAATTTTAATAGCAGGTACATTATTAGGTTTATATAAATGTAATGACCGTGAACGCGGATATTTATTTAAATTTAATTTTTATATATATATATATAGCTACAGAAATTGAAATAAAGATCCAAGTATTCACTCTTCAAATATTATAAAATATATTTTGTTTGGATATTTTATACCTTTAAATTTTCCAATGTAACTTTTCTTATTTTTAGATCATCCTTTGTGTTCCTTTCAAATAATCAAATATAATAAAACCTGATTATATATGAGAATAGATTTATACAAATATATATTCTTGTGAAAATTGGGATTATATTCTTTTTCGTGTGTCACTTAAGATGAGGTATTTAAAAATCTGATCTCGAAATTTTTTTTGAAAAGAAATTATTGTTCGAAATATAGGAAAGAAATAAGATTAACGTAATAGCCAAAGTATTCCGGAAGAATCAGCTCTCGGTACCAGGCATACACGACGCTTTCGCACTCGCGGACATAAGGCATTAACTATAAGTAGGCCAAGTAGACGTATTAGCCTCAAAGAAGGCTTTGCTAATCTAACCACTACCAATTGCGTTATCGTCAACCTTACTTGCTCATTCTTGAATTGCTCTTTTTTAACAGGCATCCCGCCTTCATGAGGTTCTTAATGATTCCTAAAAAAAATTTTATTCCACTGATTTCAATTTAATTCGTTTCTTAATTATCGCGAAAATATAATTAAATCCAATTAGAATAATTCGAGTAATTTAAACGTTATCCTAAAAATTTTTTTTTTTTCGTTATATTTCATCTTTTATTATTTTTCTTATAGAAGTACGATTCATCTTATCGCGTCTTCTATTTAACATGCGATCGAAATGGCCACGCGAAATGGCTATTCAAGAAAAATCAGCGCGGGAAGAATTAATATCTCTGGTCTGGAAAATTAGAAATTAGAAAGATCTCGGATCCAAAAGCGGAACAAAAATGTTTTATATGGTCAAAAGCAAAAATAGTAAACGCGCGAGGCGAGGGACTAGAACTTCTGAGAAAACCTGTTTATTGCGTCCTCTCTCCCGTAATTATGCAATATTACGCGTGAGATGCGTGAACACATCTTAACTTCCACATTCACGTGCACAGTTTATCCTTAACCTTGGCGCCAGAAATATTCCGATCAGTTATTCTCATATCTCTGCAACATTTGATTCTCTTGTGGAGAAAGATCGAAATGAAATTTTCGAATTCGATTACGAATAATAGAAATTAAAGATATTTTAATTTTTAACGCAATTTCAAAGAGATATTTATAATACTTTGAAACAGGTTTGAAATTTTAACAATCGTTAAAATTGCGGATAAATAATTGAATTTTCGATGTTGCTTATGTACAATGAATTTATATAAAAGGTTATATAAAAAAATGAAGGATACGGTTACATAAGATCTATTTTACATATAGTTGGCTGTTAATAATTTATAAAGTCGGTAGTAAAGTAACATGTGACATCAGCACAGGAAAATGTAGGTTTATTGCATGCTGTACCACAATGAAACAAAACCGTTTTATGAGTTCTTAGAGTTGAGGAGCGAGTTCGATCCTCCCAGTTGTCTTTCTTTGCAACGTATATTTATATATTAAAATTTCTAATATTAAATATTTCGATATAACTGTCAAAGTAGATATTAATAATAATAATAATAATAATTGGAAAGAAATACACAAAGTATCATAGATTTTCCGTACAAATTTTGTTAATAGTCAACTATATTTTACACAAATTTTTTTGATGAATTTTTCGCGGAAAAATCTGTGACGGTTTATAATATTGAAATATTTAAGGATACGTTTTAATCTTGATTCGCAGATTCAACGGTGAAACTTCAAAATGAATGCATACGCGCTATTCTTGACTTTGTTAATTAGTCATGTTTATGCGCGTGATGTTGATTTCTGTTTTAAGGAAGAGAATGATCCGTATTTATACATGGGCACTAAAACTGCCTACCATTTTGTCTATTACAAAGATCGGCTTCAAAGCGTGCCTAGTAAGTAGAATGATAAATTAAAATTATTCTCAACACTGGATGTAATTTCTGGCAAAATTAATTTAAATTTTCATTCAGACAGGGAAATTTTGAAATTTATATTTCGAGACAATGATATTTTATCGATCTTCTTTAAATTTTTTCACAAAAATAATTAAAATATGTCTTTATGGGATAAATGTCATGCAAGTAAATTGAAAAAATTTTAAATATTTCGTAGATTGCCAAGCAAAGCAAATTTGGATGCTCGTTACACATGGTACACGATGCCCATCAAAGTCAGAAATCATCGAAATGGTGAAATTAAAAGATTTCCAAAATCAAATAATTAACAATCACGAATTACGAAACAGTGAGTATAATTTTCTGTTTTTTTTTTTAATGAAAAACAAGAACGATCTTTGAAAAAGTAGATATATATAAAAGATGAAAAATGGTCCAGAGAGGTACACAATTTTTAATATTTATCCGCGGCCGTGTATTTTATTATTCATTGAAAAAGTTTCGAGAAAAAGTTAATGTTCCCATTAAATCAAATGCAAGTATAAAGTTGCACGCAAATTCAGGTCATTGACATTTTTTCGTATCGATCTTCACCATACGTCGTTTTACGTGTTAATCAATAACCACATTTCCAACAGTTAACCCTAGATTTATCGAGTTCACGCATGAATTAACCCCCTTTGAATTGGAACATGTCTAATCTCGAATCATTAATCTTTCGAAAGTACTAGAAATGGATCGAAACTTGATTTACTCGATATTCAAAACTACATTGTAAAATTTTTTAAATTCTTGAAATTCTTGAAACTTTTGACTTCGAAAAGACTGAATTTTTAATTTTTCGAAAATTGTTTCGAACGAGAAGAGAATCCTTGGGCCGTGCAATTTTTTAATAATCCTCATTTTTCCATTTTCTTTCCCACAGATGGACACATGTGCAACAAAGATTTAGAAAATTTGAAAAAATGGAAGCAGAACGATTATCTCATGATCCAACGAGCGAAAGTTCTGGCACCGCAGGGTGTAGAGGATATGAGGTTGCTCGCGAGACGATTGCAAAGCACTTTTCCCCATCTTCTGCAATCGAACAATAACGAGAACATTACTGAGCAAGATTACGTGGTACGTGGTAATAAACGTATCATGTGCTACGAGGAAAAAACTAACGATTTATCGATTTTATTAATTCGATTGATTTATTCCAGTTTAAAGAATCCGATGCGTATACAAGTTCGGGCGCGTTTATGGAGGGATTGTTCAAGGTTAAAGACGCCATAGACGTGGAAAAAGTTCCAGATAATGACACTTTACTCACGGTACGTTTTTTTATTACATTAAACGTGTAATACATTTATATTAATTAAATAAAAATGAATTACATTCCTATTTTCGTCCATGGAATCATCTAATCAATTGTGTTGTTGTCATTGGAATAATTTTAGAAATTTATATATAATAACGTAAATAATGAATTTTAAAAATATTTTTTAAAACGTATTTTTAAAGATAATTATGAATCAAAAAATATTATTTAATTTCATTCTTTGAAAAGTGAGAATAAAATTGCGAACAAATGAAATTATGTATGTATCTCCAATTACGTACTACAAGCTCAAGGAAAACTCAAGAAATCAAGAAAATATGCATTAACTGTTTAATTAATGGAACAATTGAATAATATTGAATTTTACAATATCAAAATTTAATTTAGAAAATGATATATATTTCGCTCTTAATAGATGTACAAAACGTGCGATTCGTGGGACAACGAATACAACAACGCTTCCTACGAGGAGGTAATCGCCTTCGAGGAGAGCGAAGATTTCGAAAATCTCGTGAAAAACGTGAGCCGACGCCTCGGATTTTTCACTGACATTCCCAAAGGTTAGAATTAAATAGAGACAACGTATTTCAGAATTTCAGAAATTTCTCGTTTCGAACTGTTTTGTCGAGTGCCATCATTTTCTTTTCTTTTCTTTTTTTTTTTTTATTTTCCAGATTTGATTCTAACGATGTACGATATGTGCCGTTACGAAAAGGCATGGACAGTGACGCAACTCTCTCCTTGGTGTGCCGTTTTCAGCAAAGAGGAACTTCATGTGCTCGAGTATCGCGAGGATCTCTATTATTATTACAAAGCCGGATATGGACGTGAAATCAATGCTCGGCTAGGATGCACGCTTTTGCAAGACATGATGAATCACTTTTGGTAATCTCTTTCTCTCTCTCTCTCTCTCTCTCTCTCTCTCTCTCTCTCTCTCTCTCTCTCTCTCTCCTTAGTTTTTTGATTAAATTTTTAAATGGATGAATAATTATTCTTCGAAAATATTTCAAATTCGAATATGTTTCAGGAAAGTGGAACAGGAGAACGAGTCGAACTTTCAGCCCAAAGGCATATTCTATTTTAGCGATACTATAAGTCTGTTGAATCTTTTGACAACATTGAACATTAATAAAGATGAAATGCAACTGGCGGCTTTTAATTACAAGGAAATGGCGAAACGTCAGTGGAGAACGTCCTTCATATCCTCTTTCGCGGCGAATCTTATCGCTGTATTTTACAAGTAAGAATTTATAATTCTAACGTTAATTTTTTTTTTTTTTTATCACAAACGATAAAAACTTTCGAGAATTCTATTTAATAAGAAATTAATAAGAAGAATGTTTTGTTATCATTTTGCTCTCGCTTTATACACGTATAAAATGATTTAATTGGAAGGAAAATAAAATATTCTTGCATACAAAGGATAGCGAGATAATTAGAACAAAAGAAAAAAAAAATATAATTATTCTCGTTAAAAATTGTTTAAGAAAGAGTGGAGATATATCTATTTGAAGTAATAAAAATATTTGTTAACAAAACAGTTAAGAAAACGGGAGTTAAACGAAATCCTTATACTTGGACCCAAAACTATTTATCTTATTTTTCATTCATTCACTAGATGCGACATTAACAGCCAACCAACAAACCATGTAATGTTTTACCTGGCCGAGAAATCGGTCATGCTCAAAGGATGTAAAGTGGGCCTCTGCGATTGGGAATACATAAAGCAAAAGTTCAATCCTGTTCTCAAACAGTGCGATATGAAAACTTGTTGGAACGAAAACGGTGTCGCCATTTCTCTGCCCAATTTCGTTCTCCTTATCCTTTCATGCTTCTCTTTAATCTTCATCAGGGAATAAAAAGAACGGTATATGTTCTTCTTTATTCGTAATTTAAGAAGAATGAACGCATAATACGTGAATCGCAAGAAAGCGGAGGCATTTGAGAGTAAAACTTACGAAATCATTCCTTGAAAAGTATTTTTTCAAGACACCGTTTTGAGAGTATGTTCAAGAGTGATTCTCTGATTTTATCAAAATTAATTCTCCATACGTTTTACTCTCAAACGTATTTTTTCGATATCCTAACAGGTATCGAATTAACCGTAATTATGGCTTTAAATTTTAATGACGATTGAATAAACATCGAAAATATTGCAAAAATTGCTAAAAAAAAAAAAATCACGCTGCGCTTTCAAATCGTGGAAACGTGTATGTTTAATTAATATTAGTTTTACTTCTCTATACGTAATTTATATACATTTATCGTTGTTTATTATCATCCTCATTTGTTTATACGTCACAAATACGTACTCGAGATAAGTGGAATATTATTTATATTATCATTCCTCCTAATAAATGTCGTGATTTATCGAACAAAAGTAACGATTGCACATAACGATTTATCGTCTTTCGCTTCGAACATTTTTAATTTTTACCAATACTTTTCACCACCTAAGACTACAATATTTCTATGTAATGTACGCTTAATCAACGTATTTATTAAAATTCGAATCTCGATAACGCCTCTTTTTGTACGTTTTATTCGTTCACTTGTAATCGAAACTCATCTACGAATAAATTATGACTAAATAAACGATTAATAATTCTACTTGTATATATATATTTTTTTTTACCTCGTTTATTATTATCGAAAGATTGAATACATTCATTAATGTATAATCAATGTGAAATCAATATTAAACAAATTAAAAGAAAAAAAAATTAAGTTCAAATTTAAAAAGAAGAAAATGAAAAAAGGGAATCGAGAGAGATGTTAAAAATTTAAAATATGAATAATCATTTAAAAAAAAAGAATTATCATATTTCCAATATAGAACTATCGCATCATTAATTATTTTTAACAAGATCATTCAAGTTGCATTATGTCATTTTCTTTTATGCACTTTAAATTTTTTTCACGTATTTCTGACAACCTAGTGCATCGATTATACGAATAAATTTCAGAAAAAGAAGAAGAAAAATAACCGAAAGTACTCGTTATCGACCAAAAGGATCTTCTTCTTTCTTTGAAAGAAGAATACTAATTACAATAGTTCGTCTCTAAATGAAGAATTAAACGATTGGTAATCACATGTGGATTCAAATTACGACGAAGATATTTAAATAATTCAACAATGAATTCGAATGGAACGATATTGATAATATGATATCTTAATTGGAACCTGTTATAAATTATTATACATAATTGAACTCGATATATCTTTGACATCTCTCGAATGACGAGTTTCAATCTATTTTTTTCATATTTACAGAATCAAACAATTTCGAGAAGATAAGATGTTTAATTTTAGCGCTATTGAGCTATTTGAAAGAGGTTAATAAAAGATTACAGTTAATGAAATTATCATAATTAGCGAAGATAATGTAACGTCAAGGATCGTATGTAAGGCGTCGTTTCTAGGCTATGGTCAATAAAATTTACATTTTGCAGCGCGAATTACCGATAAATGGAAGATACTGTCATGGCTAATTGAATATTCCGCCCGCATATTGTCTTCAAGTGAAACCTATTAATGAAAAAATCCTTCTATTCACTTGGAATAATTTTCGTTTAAATACAAAAAAAAAAAAAAAAACGTTTTTCCATTTAGCAATGAAAATTCTTTCAGAATTATCGTAAACAATGATCCTTTTGATCGATTACGAATACTTTCGGTTATTTTTCTTGAAATTTATTCGTATAATCGATGCACTAGGTTGTTAGAAATACGTGAAAAAAATTTAAAGTGCATAAAAAATGACATAATGACATAATGCAATTTGAACAATCTTGTTAAAGATAATTAATGACACGACAGTTCTATATTGGAAATATGACGATCCTTTTTTTTTAGATGATTATTTATATTTTAAATTTTTAACATCTCTCTCGGTTCCCTTTTTTCACTTTCTTCTTTTTAAATTTGAACTTAATTTTTTTTCTTTTAATTTGTTTAATATTGATTTCACGATTATACATTAATGAGATTATATATCGAATTATGTAAGCGATAGTATTAACGACTAACAGTTGAAGGAGAAACATTTTTAATATTTTTATTGCCAGGTCATACAAAAGTATAAGTTTGTATCTACGAGACAATTGCAAGTTAATAGTAGCATGCACGCCAAACGAATTAGATATCATGTATGTAATCAATTTTCTTTTCGTTAAAAGTGATATAAATCTACTTATATTTACTTATTAAACTTCATCGACCTCTATTAAATGTAAGTTTCGCTACGTTGCTTTATTGATTTTAACAATTCTTTTTTTTTTTTAATATCAATAATAGGACGTGTAAATAACGTGGAAACATCGATACTACGATATCCTGTGTGTGTGTGTGTGTGTGTGTATGTGTGTGTGTGTACTTAAACGGATATATGCAAACAAATTTAAACGACGATTGAAAATTATTTTGATTGATAAAAACTAGAGGCTACAATGTTTATTTCTTTTTCTTGAAAAAAAATTATTCAATGCAATAGATTTTAAGATTGCCGATGAAATATTTTCTCGCCATTTATACAAATTAATCAACTCACCTGTAAAAATATTTTTTCTAGGTAGATATGTAAAAGTACTCGATGAATATCAAACTATTAAGGTATGCGCGTGTTTTATGTATATATATATACACGATACGATACCTCATCATTCATGCACTGTGTATATACCATGTTATTATTGCACTTAAGATAAATGAAATTTTCACACGAGGGAATGAAAGCGTGGAAAGGAACGATGCTTTCAGTTGTCGCTTCCTCACAGTGTTTGCTTCTTAACGTTGGTTTTCCCAAGTCTTCCATTTTATTCTTCGAACGATCATTAAAAAAATTTATCTTCAATTCCCACTTCGAGAAATATAGTAAGTACAATATCGTTTTATTTAAATAATAATAATAATAATAATAATAATAATAATAATCACCCATAATAATTCTTTTAGAAATTATTCGATCGAGGAATGTTGCAAAAATGACCATGATTCTACCGTTATACCTGTTAACCCTTCAACAAATGAATTATCCGTACCATTTACCGATCATCGAACGATCCGTCAAAGATCTTCTCGACACGAGCCAATTTTTGAACGTCCTATTCGTCGTTCAAAATTCTCTCGGCCGTGATCCCTTGGACGATCTCCAGTTGATCGACGAGATCTACAAAACCGTGTCACGCACCATACCGACGAATTTCGTTTCCTTCAACGACTCGATCCCGATCGAATTACCGGACATCGACGCGACCGAGTCTACGCTCATCTTATACTCGTACGTGGCGAAAGATTTCCCTGATCGCCGTCGAAGAGAGGACATCGCCCGTTTCATAGAGCACTGCCAGAACCGGTCCAAAGTATTGTTAATAACCAAGCTCGAGGAGATAAACTGCAACTTCGAGGGATTTTTAAAACAGATCTGGTACGACGAGTTGATCGACATGACGGTATTAGAGTTATCCAACAACTCTCGACTATCGATAACCATGAACGTTCATCGATACAACCCTTTCACCAACATGTACGATCGAACGCCGTATACCCCGACTCTCGACTGGTTCCCCAACAAGTTGATCGATCTTCACGGCCACCCGTTTCGCGCTACCATTTTGGAACGCGAAGGCTACATAAATCTGACGGTCGACTCTCGATCCTGCCCTATCTCGTACAAGGGACCCGACGTGAAACTCCTTCACACGCTTGCACGTATCATGAACTTCACGATCGTGATGCTGCCCAACAACGACGCCCTTACGAGCCTGATGGACGGCGATCTGGACATCATAATACCGAAGCTGCCGTTATTCCCCGACCCGCGTTTCGACCTGTTGGACCACACGTTGCCGTTCGAGTACGAGAAGTGGTGCCCAGTCGTACCGATCGCGTATCAAGTGAACACCATCGAGTCACGAGCTTTCGCAGCTATAATCGCGAATATAGTGATCCTTCTCGCGTTCTGGGCAATATCGGCTCTGTTGAGGTTCGAGAAGAGGTTGTGGCAACCGTTGAAGATATTCGGGATCTTGATCGCGACGAGCGTCTCGATGAGGCCGGACAGAACGTTGGAGAGGATCGTGTTCTTCCTGATTGTATTGGCGTCCGTCATGTACTCGGCCAATCTTTACGTCGACTTGACGAGCGTAAGCATGGCGGACACGATGGAGACCGAGTACAAGAGTTACGAAGATCTGGACAAATCCGGATTGACGCCTGTCGTCCTCCACATGATATTCAACGTCACCTTCTTCACCGACGACCAGGCATTCAACTCGTTGAAGAGGAAGGCGATCGCCGACGAGGACATGGAAAATTGCACCGACGTTCTGTCCAGATACAGGAACGTCACCTGTTTCATGGAGTTGAGAGGGATAAACGCGTTGATTTACTCCCAAGCGAAGAGGGATTCGGTTACTATGAAGGTGTGCAGAAATTTGTGCTACGCAAAACCTCACGCGACTTACTTTCTAAGGAAGCACTCGCCGTTCAGGAGTAAATTCGATACGATCATATCGAGGTTGGAGGCGGCAGGTATTCGCAAGAAGTGGCATTACGATTTCGTAGGGAAATTTTTCCCGAAAAAGGCGCGTCCTGTTAATCGAAATTTGTACGAATCGTCGCTCGTCTGGAATCTGGTTTACATAGGGGTGATTGGATTCTTGTCGTCAATCGTGGCGTTTTTTTGCGAAATTCTCGTGTATCACGCGCAGAAAAGAAGGAAAAATGATCGAACGTGAAACTATATATATATATATTAGCGTGTATCGATGTGTTTTCGCGTTTTTTAAAATTAAAAAGTTAATCGATGTATAAAGAAATAGCTTTGTAGGGTTTCTATAGGGACGATCTATCGATTAAAATATTACGTGCAAATATAGTAGGCTGTGATCTTTTTTTTGAAATGATAAATCTACGCTTCGAACAATTTTCGCTGCATCGTTTATCAGATTTATCACGTTTGATATTACAAATTTCATCTATCATCTTCTTCTTATATTTTAAAATAATTTCCAGTTATTCTAATATATTGTTAGAAGCAATTGACAGGCGAAATGTCAGTTGAAATAATTCGATATTGGAGCGAATTGAAATTCTGAAAAGGAACCCGAAGCTTCGCCCCAATCCAATAATAAATTGGAAACCACAAAGCGGAAAGTTTGTCGATTTTCTTCCTTTTTTAATTGGTCCATCGGCTAGAAGCGTTTAAAATAACTTGGAAAGTTATGGAGAAGTGAAAAATTTAAGAATCAAAGGTGGGAAATAAATCGACTCGATTTCGACTCTTTAAGAATGAAAAAAAAATTAGGAAATTCGATTTGAATTTTTCTCGATTCTCACACTTTTCGAATATTCGAATCTTTGTAATGTTCCGTAATATTTTAAACAATCTAATATTAGGAACAATTTAATGATCCTGTTATTCTGTTGTTGTGTCTTCAAATGCCAACCTATTTTCGTTGGTGCGTTAAACGAACTTTAACGATGAAACGGAATAATTTATCGACAAATTAACCGACTAGATTATACACTAGATAATCCCCGGTAACAAGATCCAAATAAAACTACAACTAACCATACCATAAAAGCCGACCATAATAGCGGAGCAAAATGGTCGAACAGTTCAAGATCGATATCCATATTCCTACCTCCTATTAATAATCAACAATGTCTCTCTCTTTCTGTGCAAGTGTTAGAAAAAAAAAAAAAATAAATAAAAAATGCAATAACCGTTCAATAACATTCAAGCCTGATGAAACCTGAACAATTTTCCACGCGCAGAAATTACCTCTCTCTTCCTCCCTTTGTGTCTGTTAACGCGGTTATTCAACACATTGCTCGATAACTTCCCCTGAGACATCCCCTGGAAATACACCAGTCAAGTGTGTAAGTACGCGCAGGTTCGATATTTTTTTTCGTCAAATTTTTCTATATAATAATAAATTCTCATCTATGCACACGATTCTCGTGTCAAGGATTTTATCTTATCTTTCTTATCTTATCTTTTATTTTTCAAAATTTAACTTTTAAATTTAAATTAAATGTCTACATATATGATTCTCTATATATAAATCTCGATTCTAATCGTACGATTGTTTTATTACAAATTACATTTTAATAAAGACGAGATCGTTAATAAGTTTAAAACGATGTCAACAATATTCAAGATTTCTTTCTCGACAATTCAACCGTTTACATTTACAAGATTTCAATTTTCAAAATATTAATATAAATCAAATGATTAGTACACCGATATCAATGTCCAATGTATAAATCTAATTTGTTCATCCACCGCATTCCATTTACGTATTTTTATATGGAAAATAAAATAAATCAAACACGTGACTGGCCTCGATCTTACTTTCGTCCTTTTTCAAGGATTCCCCTTCTGCGCGTGAAACGATACGAAAGGAAAAATCATCGTCACCGTGTTTGAAAATTACTTTCAGAGGCCCGATCGGCGAGAGGAACATCACCCTGTAATGTTTTTCCCTTCTCTAGCCGTTCGCCTTTCCATTTCCGCCGCCTACCCCCCGCTGACAGTTCCGCTCCCGCTGCGAAGCCGCGCAGCAAGTAGCGAGTGTGCGATCAGTGTCGGGCCGACCGGCAACGTGTGTAGGTAGTGTTCACGCTCTCGCGTTTATCCTCACGGTTTATTTCGATACATTCGGCCGAGTTACACGGGGAGACGAAACACGGGATATAAACCTCGTTGGAATCCTGCTCGTTCTCGAGGGAAGAAAGAAAAGAAAAGAGGTGAGCGATATCCTTTCGACGGTGTATGTAAATAGATGACCAAGATGGATAAACGGACGATTTGGAATAATTATCGTTTCTCGTTGCAAGTTTTAACAGGATGGAAAGTGCAATAACGTTTGGTAATTTTGTTAACGTTATCGTAAAATTGATGGAATTACCTTAATTTTGATTGAGGCACTTTCGATATTGAAAACATTGAAATTTTGATAATATTGATATTGCTGGTAAAATATTATTATAGAAGTGATATATTGTTATTAAAAAAAATTGTTATAAGTAGAATGATGTTAGATTTGAAGCGAGTGGAGTTTTGAAATAGGTAAAAAAAAAAAAAAAAAAATTGAGAAGTGATTTGATTATTCCTCTTTGACTGTGAAATCGTGAAAATTCATAGCTCGTTGCTTGTCAATTTATCGGTATTATTAGCTGGTAAATTATCGTGGAAGAGAGGTGTCCGGAACACGGACACGTGTTGATGATACTCCTGTTGAATCTTCACCCACGCTCTCTGTTCTACGCTTATTGTTTTTTCTTTAGAAATAACTTTCTGCTCTCTATAAACGACTGCTCTCGTAGTACACGCTTTTTTACGCGATCATATTTATAATTTTATTTTATTTGCAAGTTTTAACAGGATGGAAAGTGCAATAACGTTTGGTAATTTTCCATGGTGGTTATCTAATGGGCATCGTGACACGACGATTTTGCTTGTGAAAGGGGAAAAGGATCGTCTCGATTCACGTGCAATCGTTCACGCTTGAGTTTTTGTTTAACAATGGAGGTGGTGGAATGTGGTTCGTGAAACGAAAACGTAACAACTCGGTTCCTACGTAATAGAGGCAGCTGTGTTGATAGAGATAGTTTTCGAAAATTTTATTTTTGAATGGTGAACACGCGTGATTTTTTTTCTTTTTTTTGAATATACAATCCATTCTCTCAGAATTAAACCGATAATTCATTTCGATTAATCGAAAGGAAGAATTTCTATCTATACAAAATATTAAATTCCTTTAATATTCCAACATATTTGCGTATATCTTTTAAAAGATTATTATTTTTTGTATAAATAATATTAATGATTCGAAAATTTGTTAAAATTTATTATTATATATATAAATTTAATAACATTGGATCATAATTTCTTAAGAAAATTCTAGATTTAAATATAACGTTAAAAGCACAAAAGCACAAAAAAAAAAGCTCTTACACGTGTCGTAATATTCACCTCTGAAACTCGAAGTTTTGCGCATATATTAAAAATGTGTTGTCGTGACGAAAGAACAAAGAAGGTTGTTTGGTAATCTCGTTAAAATTCTCCTGCCAGTGGCGAAATAAGGGTTGGCACCTCCCTAGTCGGCGAAATTACTCGGCCAACGTCGACTATTTAAAATGTCGTTCTTTGTTGCTTCTTACAGACTTTTATTATTCCCTAGGGAAAATTAATGTCGAGGTGAATGGCTTTCCATTTTATTTATGACTTCGTTTTACAAAGCGATTCTTAAAATTCACCGATACTTTACGAGAACGCGTTCTCTTTTTTAAAAGCGTTTCTTGTTTTTAATTTGTTTGGATATTCCAATGGATTGTGATCAAAAAGAATATCAACTGACACGCGCACACGCATTACGAGAAATATGTAACATTTATATTTATATTAAGTTTATATTAAAATATTTTTGCACGATTAATCGATGAATTTATTTAGATCAGAAGAGAATGATTAGTTTTCGTTTGTATTTATTATATTAAATATATTCGTAAATAAATTGCGGATCCTTGTGCATTTATGAATTTAAAATGTAAAAAATTCTATAGAATTGATATGCAAAAGATATGCAAAAATATATAAAATAACCAGAGTAAAATATATATTATGATATTCAAAGAATGAAGATTCCCTTATTTCAATTCCAATTCTGTAAATGTGCTTTTAATTTGCATAAATATTCGTAAATCTATTCATAAATAACAAGATATGTAATTATAAATATAAAAGATAAATATTAAAAACGTTTAAATTTTACCGTACAAATTATTATTTAATTTAAACAACACGTTTTTTTTTAAATATTCCAGAAAATAATAAAATACGTTTAATCTTGTAAATTCATATATAAATTAAAGAAGAATTAAACGTGCACAACGTACATCATATTTTTTTCGAACGATTCACCTGCGTTTCATGCGCGATAATTAACCCCTTCGTTACATGACAAACAACAGTTTCGCGTGTCATGACTCGCTTCCGCAACTTGTAAATTGACCAAAGGCTGGGTCTGGAAATTCCACCCCAACGCAACTGGCGGCTTCGATTCACCCTTGTCCTTTATCGGGGTGAATTTCCTCTGTGCATTTCGTGAACCCCTATTTCCACATAATACGAGGAACTCTCCCTCGAACAAATTCGAAAGCATAAATTTACCCTCTGAGTCATCCTATCTTATATACTTTCATTTATATCTTATATACTTTTTCTTATATTATTCATTTATAATAAAAATTAAATTATATATAATAATTGGAAATAAGACTTTAATTTCTAAAATATTTTTTATTAAATTTAGAGATACGAATTATATTCATCTGGAATTTACATGTTGAATTACATATTGAAAATTATTATCCTCCTAGGTATTTCAGTCCATATCATACATAATGGAAGGAATTCAAAAGCATTGAATTTATCTTTTCGAATCGCTCTACACGAATTTTCATGTATTCCTCTTAAAAATTATTTATAGTCGTTTGTATTATCATATAATTTATAAATTAATATCATTCAATCGTTTACAATGATTAAAATTTTGATATCGATTTGAGAAAGATTACACTTCCGTTTTCGAAAATGTACAAATTATCGCGATTAGATATTTGTCTCGTTTCAAGTAAAATATATACAACGTATTTGTTCAATGTAATATAAAGATCATTTGTCAGAATAAGTATCAGAGTGTAACTCCACACCGTTTCAATGTGATGAGTTCATTAAAAAATAAAATCATAAACGGAATATGTAATATATAAATTCTTCGTGCAGTGGTTTAGATCGATAATAATCATTGTGGAACGGCATTGACACGCTTTCGCTCGTCTCGATATTCGCTCGACCGAGACCTGTATGAATTTCTGGCGCGATAAATCGAATGCCATTGAAATGAGAAAAACCGGCATCGATGAACTTCCAGATCGAAGATCACGCAACTCTCTAAATTGCCAATACCAAATTAATTCAGGAATTTTCATATCCTCTTTTCCCCTTTCATTCGACCGTCATATTGAAAAGCTTTTCCAACGTTACCAAATCAAAATTAAAAATTAATACGAAGCGATTTTCTTCTAAAATTTTTTTCTTTTAAACAAAATTTCGAAACGAAATTTATTTAACATGTAAAAAAAAAAAAATTGGAAAAGTTGCTTTTATTCTCGATTTCTCGTTTACTGCAAAAGAAAAAGTTATTACTTGTTTTAAAAAGTAATCGCGTACCTTGAAAAGTTTCGTAATATATGTTCCAAGATCCTGTTTTATTTTTATAACACGATAAACTATTTCTTTATTTTTTTTTTTATTCTTTCTAATACAAGTAAAAAGTTTTATTTCTTTTTTTTTTAAATCACGTAAAAATCGTACATCCTTTTTTTACGAGCAATAATAATGATATTATATATATATACACCAAAGATTTGCACGAATAATCTCTTTTGTCCAATGTTTTATGTCCATACAGGAGAAATAAATGCTGACCAAGGACGATAAATATGTTATCACATCTTTTATGTGGAAGCAGCCCTTACTGCATTTTATGTATCGCATTAAAAAAGTATCAGTTTTTCTCCTTATTCTCTTGCGAAACCTCGTAAAAAAATTTTATTCTTTTCGTAAAATTTCCATTTAAAAAAAAAATAAATAAACTGGATAAAAAATCAAACTATTTGTATTTAAAAGAAAAAATATAAAATTGTATTTTCAAGTTTGTACAAAATATTATATATATATATGCAAAAAAAGATTCAAGCAAGAGACGTTAAAAAAAAATAGTCTCATATTTCTCGTATGAAATATCCTGTTAACAATTAACGCGCAATTTGACTAATAGATAAATAGATGAGAAATTACGAGAGATACGAGAGAATTGGCGTCGATTCAAAGAGATCGATAATTGTCACGTTTACATTACCAATATTTGACGACGTAACGCTATATTTGGTACAGTGGTACAGAATTCACCATTCCGATTTTAGACCTGTATCATTATCGAATATCAACGAAAGCACAGAGCACATTTTATCATCTTTCGCGAACAATTTGTCCGAAATTATTTTTATCATTCGCCCCTATCGTACGAATTTTGGCACGCGAGACACACTCCCTTTGAACAGTTTACACGCTAAAATTTCCCGCGTTTCACTTTCCCGTTTGATCTTCACGCCTGTTTCGAATTACTTATTTATGCCCATTGTAAATTACGAAAGAAAAACGAACGATCTCTCGATCTTATTTTCGTATGATGAAAATTTGAAAAATTTCAATTTCTGAGATCAAGATCGCGCGAAGAGTTTTGTTCGGGCAATCGAGAAGCGAATGCTCGGTTAATAATTTTCTTATCTTGTTTTGTTGAATTATTGACTTCAGCGTACGAGAGCCTCGCACGTCTTATCCGCTCCATTACAATAATTTTCTCAAGATTCCTATCCGGCTTGTACGTTCTTGTCTCTCTTCTTGATAATCTTAATCTTGACAGACAGTATCTGCATCATCTGTTCTCGTTCTATTAACTTTATTCGGTCCTTCGAGTGAACAGGATTGATATATTAAGTTATCATTAATATAGTGAAATTAATTAATATTTAGAAAATTGATTGATTTTTTTTAAATATTAAATTTTAAATATTAAAATTTGTATTATATTTTTGTGTATCTGCACTTGACACAAATTTACAAAAGAAAAGAAAAATCGTTTTTATTCGGATATTAAATTGTCAAAAATTGATCTAATAAT